TGGGGGGGGTGCGCATATTGAAACCATTGTGATCATTTTCCCCTTCCGCTGGTTTTTTTTTTTTTTTTTCTTTTCCCGTTTGGAACCAAAACTTTGAGAGAGTTCGTCGGGACACTGTTTGTCATGTTTCGCCTCGGGAAGTCTGCGGCAAGTCGGGAAGAGAGGGCTGGCGTGGTTGCGGCTCTCTATTACTCCGCACTTCCAACGGAGCTTCAGCAACCTTACGTCAGTCCCTTTTGCTGGGGGTGTCTTTTCAGTATCATCACATGTCAACTCAATTGCATTTTTTGCTGATTGCTGTTCCCCCTCCCTCCGCCCCCTCCGCTTGCCCCGCAAAATTAGAGCTGGCTCATGCTCATTGCTGCTCATGCTTCCTAGAGGTGTGCTGATGCCGCATAAAGAACAAAGTAACAGATTTCCCGACGAAGGAAACGTGAAAAACCCTCTCCCGTGTTTCCTCATTGGACTTGGTTCTCGGCAAGTCGATTGCATGATCGATCGCTTTGCTTGCAATTGGAAAGATTGCCATGTGTTGAGGAGAAGCTTGGCCCTTGGATATGACGGCGTTTGTTCGTTTCGGCCTCGGCGTTGAGATTGCAACCTAGAGAGCAATCATGTGAGGAAGTTCCGGGTATGGATCATTGTCAAAATCAATGGTACTCGTCTCATTATTCTGCAAGCACATTCCCAAGCCAAATTATAACCAGAACGGCCTCAATTCTTATTCATCAGAATACTCACTTTTGAGATCAGGGTTGTCCAACTCATTCCAAGAGATAGAGGCTTAGTGGGGCAACCCAAACGTCACGGCCTCAAACTGGCTCCGGACCAAATGCCGGGCTGTTCAGGCCGACATAGGGCCGTATCGGAATGGAATCTGGGAAATTCCTTTTGATGCAAGACGGAAGTAACACGTGCTTCAGCCAAGAGAACGTGGAGGAGCCCTAAACTTTACATCAAAATCGAACGTTGACATGAGAAGGTTATCAACCAATGATGTGTTCTGCATGTGAATGTCTCTCGAAACACTTTTGTTTGTAGATATGATGTACCCAAAACAGGACGCCCGCGATTGGCCGAACCCTCTCATGAACCCAAATCGCTCCCAATACTTGCTGGGAAAGAACAGAGGCCAGGTGCCAGGTAACCGAAAAGACGCCGTTACAACGCAGTAAGAAAACGCCGTCACTGTTTGAACAACGGTTGTAGCCCCCATTCAACAATTTCGCAAACACCACACTCACCCCCCCGCCCGCTAATGCAAAAGGGAGAGACAAAAAAAAAATCCCAACAAGAAGAGTACATATTGATGAAACCGGGCGTCATGCCGAGTAACTGGGCGGGTTCGGGTCCGCGTACACCATGGTGGCCTTGAGGAAGACAAGCACCTCGTACGCCGCCTTGGCGATGTCGAGCCCCTTCTTCTTCCACTCGGACTCGTACCACAGGTTCTGCAGCATGTTGTCCGCGACGAGCGTGACAATGAAGCGCACATGGTGGTCTTCAGCCGTCCACGCGCTCTTGTCAGGGCGGTAGACGATAAACTTGGCTTTCCTGGCGTTGAGCGCCTCCCGCGCCGCCTGGGCCGTGCGGACCTTTTCCGGCTCCGGCACGGCGCTGGGACCCGTGACACCCGTAGGCCCCACTACGCCCGCCGCGGCGGCGTTGGCGATGGCGCGGGAGAGGAAGTCTGCGTTGAACTCGTTCCACGGTCCGCGGACAAAGTTGCTGTCTAGCCAGTCGTGGAACTTGGCGGCGTCTTTGAAAGGGAGGAGCTCGAGGAGGAGGCGCTCGTGCTGGGAGGATACGCGGGAGGAGAGTGGGGGGTTGGGGGCCGGAGCCGCGATCCGGGTCGGCGATGTGGGCATGGCGGCGACGGTGCCGACAGCGGGGGGATTAGGGACCATACGGGGCGTTGCAGGAGGCGAGTCGAGGCGCTGGTACGGAAGTTTTGTGATGGGTGAGGTGGATTGGGTTGTGTGCCTGCGTGGGCGTGGGATACACATTGATGAAGATAAGTTTGACTGGCGGCACCAAGGGCTTCAAAGCTAAAAGAGGTAGATGATACGGGTTAGGAAAATAGCAAGCGACTACATGCAGATTGTGGCTGTACAGAGATGGGCCAAAGTCTGCCTGGCTATGCTCGGGATGGCCCCATGACATATATGTCTCTCTTTCAGCCATACCTTACGTTGGGGGCAGTCGTTGTCCACCGAATATGCCTCGTTTCCGGGGTCCTTTTGTTTTGATGTCAATGCAGTATACCAGTCCCGTTTCGTTCCATTTCAAGTTGCTGCCTGAGAGGCTTTCTTTGGTACGAACGAGCGCTGCATCGGAGAATGGATGGAGGGATGGTAAGGGGGGATTTGCAAAGTTGTTTTTTGGACTTTTTGGAGGGGCTTGCCTCTAGGCAACAGAGCTGAGGTGCAGCGCTGGCGAATCAGGAGTGCCTGTTCCAGGTGCGCTGCTCACGGCGCTTACGCGGCCATGAGGGAGCCAAGCAGTGAGATGCGCAGCGTTTGTCTGACCATTTGCATCAAGGCTGGCTGGTATGTGATACTATCGAGCGCGAGAAATGTAGCATGGCATACGCTCCGGGCTTTGATGCAAGTGATCCTGGGTTGGATTTGGTATTTCAGGCGGCAGTAATTCTTCAGCCGCCGAACTGGAGCCTTGGCACCCAGACACCAAGGCAAGCCACCTTCACTCCATGAGAAAGTCAGTAGACTAATTGCAAGCGAGAAGAGGTTGGATGGTAGCTCCTCTCGTTTAGATCTACGGCTATCCAAATTCACTCGAATCTCGTAGTCAGCTGTGAAAGCAACCGCAGCATTTGTCATTCTCCGCGAGTGATGTTGGTCTAATCCTGTATGCCCGCGTCGAATATCAACTCCTATGATACAGCATTATACTGGAGGTTCTAACCTACCAAACAATCGTTATAAAGACCTTCCAAACATGAACCAGGATTGGAGCAGATAATTAAATGGTGAAGCAGAGTAGCTGTTGGATGAAACTGTCTCTCACGGATATAAACTTTGTTGGACATTCAGGTGGACTAAAGTTATAAGTCGGAGTGGTCGCTGCGGACGCTAGTACAGGGATCAAGAACGGGAAGCAAGCGTCATGATAAACGAGGCCATGATTGAGTTGAATGTTGAATTGCTCCAGAATAGCAGTTTTACCCACTCAACAAGTTATTTTCGGCCTTGAGAATTAGTCCATTTTGGGTTGCAGTCCTGGATTAGGGATGCAACGACATCTCCAAAACGCCGAGCACGAAGTGTCATGGGTTTGTGTTTGGCAACTATCGACTCTCAAAAATATTTCTGTTATCTCTGTTCAAGCTGAATCGGCTCTTCTTCTCAGCAATGAGTGAGGTGGTTGGTCAATTTGGCGGCTTCGGTTGGCATTCACGCCCATTGGGCATCCGATTTTGAGACCTAGAAAGATCCCGAGCACACGGCAGTACATGATGACAGCCGGAAATAAAGCTATAAGAACTAGATTAACTCGAGTGAGATTCATAGCGAATAATCACCAAGCAGTCATATGTCGGTTCTGGCAGATGGCAGAGCCTTGACATTCTTCAAGCAATGGAGAATTATGGGGGCTGGGTAGCGAGGTTGAGGTTGTCACCGATGACTCACCGCCTTTGGCAGAATCAATGGACCCACTGAAATTTCTCTCGCCGACCAGCGACGAGCTGCAACTCTAATGAGCCAAATCGACAACGGGCCCAAAGTATCATTCCATTGTCGCATGACTGTATGTTGAAGCCATACCTTCGAGGAGCTATACGCCAAGGCACACGCTCTGCGAGCCGGCAATCCTGCATAAAGCCCTTATCTTCACGCCTCCAATCACTCCAATTGACGGATCCTTCAGTCGTCCCTCTCATTCACACGGCCTACAGAAGCAGTGCGCCGCCACTCATCGGATTTTACAGCAACTCAGCTACCAATCGTGATACCACCACCTACACCATGAGTGGAGAGGAGCAGATTTTCACCTACGATGGCAAGGACTACAAGGGCGTGACCGAAGGCAAGGCCACCATCCTGGTCCCCGCGGAAGTCAGCGACAAAAAGGGCCAGCAGGTGTTTTACAACCCTATCCAGCAGTTCAACCGAGATCTTTCTGCGCTGGCCATCAGAGTATACGGCGAGGAGGTCGTCGAGAGGAAGGCTGCGCAGGCCGCGAAGGCTGCTGAGGCCGCAGCCAAGCGCAAGGACAAGAAGAGACGACGTGCGGCTGCAGATGAGGGCACTAACCGGCCGGCCAAGGTGCAGGTTACAGACGACGGCAAGGCCGCTGAGGTTACCAACGGCGGCGAGACGCAACTCGAGAATGGAGTCAATGCCACCGGCACTGAGGCTCAGGCTTCTGAGGCAACTTTAACCGTCGCCGAGGTGCCGGCAGGAGCCACGGAAGCCAAGGATGGGCAGGCCGAGGGTGACGACGCAAAGCCTGTGCCTGAGAAGGAGTCGGCGCCCCCTCGCTTTACCATTCTGGACGCCTTGTCGGCCTCTGGTCTTCGCGCGTTGCGCTACTCCCACGAGTTGCCCTTCGTGACGTCGGTGACCGCCAACGATCTGACCAAGAGTGCGATTGAGTCAATCAAGTTGAACATTAAGCACAACGGACTGGAAGATAAGATTGTGACGAGCCACGACGATGCAATCGCCCACATGTACCGGCGCATCGCCGATGACCTGTCGAACAGAGACCGGTTCGGCAACCCCAGCAAGGAGAACAGGTATGACGCGATTGACCTGGACCCTTACGGAACCGCCGCGCCCTTCCTAGACGCTGCCATCCAGGCCGTTAGAGACGACGGTGGCCTGCTTGCCGTCACCTGCACCGACGGCAGTCACTGGGCTGGACACTGCTACGCCGAAAAGTGCTTCTCCCTGTACGGAGGTGCTCCCGTGAAGGGTCTTCACTCGCACGAAGTGGGCATTCGTCTGATCCTCCACGCCTTGGCAAGCGCCGGATCAAAGTACGGGTTGACCATTGAGCCGCAGCTGTCCCTCTCCATCGACTTTTACTGCCGAGTTTTTGTCAAGGTCCGCAAGTCCAAGGACGCCGTCAACTACCAGGGCGGCAAGACGATGATCATGTACAACTGCCCCGGGTGCTCGGCCTGGGAGACGCAGCCCATGGTCCGGACGCGCGCTGCGCCCAAGAAGAGGGAGGGATACTTTTACAAGCACGGCCTGTCCCAAGGACCCCCAACCGACTCACACTGCAGACACTGCGGTTCGAAGATGCACATCGCCGGCCCCATGTACAGCGGCCCCTTGCACAACGCCGAGTTCATCCAGCGTATTCTTGACATCTTGCCGACGGTCGACAAGAATGTGTACCAGACGACTTCCAGAATCGAGGGCATGCTCCAGACGGCTCTCGAGGAGTACCTCCCGGGCCCGGAACCAGCAGAGGACCTTGACCCCAAGGACAAAGAGCTGGCGAGAGTGGACCACTACCCCTTCTTCGTCATGCCTTCGAGGTTGGCCGGTACGCTAAGCACGCAGCAGCCGCCGGATGACATGTTTAGGGGTGCGCTCAAGCATCTCGGCTATCGCGTCACCCGCAGCCATTGCCGTCCCGGAAGCGTCAAGACAGACGCGCCATGGGACACGATTTGGTTTGTGATGCAGGAATGGGTTCGCCAGAAGGCGCCGGTGCGCACAGAAAAGATCAACTCGCACATGCCGGCGTACAAGCTGCTGGGCCTGGACAAGGCGGACAAGGCAGACAAGGCAGACACCAACGGAAACGCCACGGAGGTAAAGGAGGCCGATGCTGATACCGCGGTGGAGGCGGCGGCGGAGCAGGAAGAGAAGACTGCTGACGTCGAGATGAAGGACGGGTCAGGGGTGGAGAAGACAGAGCACAAGGGCGAAGAAAAGGTGTCGGAAGAGGCGTTGCGCAAGACGCTCGTGTTCGACGAGAACCTCGCCAAGCTCGGCAAGCGTAGGGAGCAGAGAAAGTTGGTTAGATACCAGATGAACCCGCGGGAGAACTGGGGCCCCATGACGAGAGCGAAGGGCGCGTGATGAGCGGACAGGAAGAGAAGCACAAAAGCATGTCGGTTTAGTCAAGATGAAGCATTACGGAATACCACCAGTCGAGGCCGCGCAGTTCGAGGTAACCCCGTCCTTTGCATTCGCCTCTTTCTAGAATCGGTGACTGACGGGAAGTCGTGTCAGAGATGCACTGGACGTCTCCGCTGTGCCTGCCTCGACCTCACTCTCGGCGGGTAGGTACCTCCATCCGCACCTGCCTGAACAAACGACACAATAGGCACACCTGACGGCCACTCCCGCCTTCCCGCCGTCTCGTACCAAGCGGGCACACCTGAGCAATTGGAATTGTTGTCAACCACCACTTCGGCGACGAAATATAGCCCTCAAACCGCGCTTCCTCTATCCCAAGTTGGAACCCTTGCGGTGGGATGGCCGAGTGGTCCAAGGCGACAGATTTAAGCTGACTAAGCATCAGTACTCTGTTACTCGTGAGAGTGCGCGGGTTCGAACCCCGCTCCCATCATTTTGACGGTAGTGTTTTGGTTCAGCAGGGTGTGGGTGAGCTGAGTCAGTAGCAGTCCTCTGTTACTCGTGAGAGTGCTTGACGTTCGTGTTTTGGGTCGGCAGGGTGTGGGTACTTCTTTTGCGCCAATTTAGATTTTGTGCGACAATGCCAAGTCGCACAGAGTCGCTGCGTACGTTGGCTGCGTAGGTAGCCGGCCTTGCCCTGTGGCATCATTGTTAGGTACGGGCGGCGTTCCGGCGGTCGATTGGTCGGTGTCCCGGGCGGTGGCAGCGGAAGGGCGGTCATCCGGCCCCGGCTGACGAGGGCAGGTTGCTGGCTGCTGGTTGCTGGCGCTCGCTACAGGCGGGCGCTGTTTCTGGGGCTTTGGTGCTCCCCACCCCCCTTCCCCCCACGCCGGCGTGACTCCGAATCCCTCGGGTGCGCTTGCCGTTCGCTTGGTGCGCACTATCTTACGAAATAACGCAATCGCTGGCTGTATGGCACATTTCCCCGGCAATCTCATCCACAGCACCAGCCACAGGCATTCAAGAGACGATTTGTGAGTGAGGTACCTCGGGGTTAAGGTGGCAGGCACGACTTTGGGATAGGATTGCAGCAACGCTCTCGCTTTCTGTGCATCCGGGCTTACTCTTAAGACCACGCAATCTCACTGGGTTGGAATAAGGGACTGTAAGGTAGCTTACGGCCACCTGCCCGAAGAGGCCTCGCCTCGTCTTGGTCAGCCAGCACTATCCCGAGTTCCAGGTGACCGGCTGCCTGCCTGTGGTTGCACCTCCAAAAAGTCGATAAACCTCGAATCAAACGTCAGCCCGTATATCACCGTGTTGAGACAGCTGGCAAAGAAATCTAGATGAGATAGATTGCGTATCTTCGGCAGGCTGTAATTACTTGTTCCTTTTTCCTTCTGGATTCACACGCCAACATGGTCGTCGTGGACACCGCAGGGCCTCTGGGTGAGCCCCGCGCCCACGGCCTTGTACCCCGCCACGCTCGCGATGCCGCCTTCATCGATGGCAAACTGGTCTTCACCTCTCAACGCGGCAGCGAGTCCCTCCGCGCCGAGGAGATCCTTTTTATCATTCCCGCGAGCAGCCGACCGGCGTCGGGTCCCATCATCTGCGCCCTGAGGGAAGACCCCGAGGCCAAGGAATCCCCTTATCAGCTCGACATCCTGCTCGTCGAGGGCGAGCTGCCCGCGGGGCTCACCAGCAGCGGCCTTCTGCTCCCGCAATTCCCGGACCATCTCGCCCCCAAATCGGGAGCCCACGATGTACACTTTATCGTCTCTACCATGGCGGGGCTGGGACACGCGCCCACGTTCTGGGATGGCGTTGTTCAGCCTCTGCTGCTGCTTGCGGGTCAAAAGACATCGTCTGGAGACCTTGCAAACACTTTCGCCGCCTCGGAGGGGCTGCCTGCTTCTTCCCAGAACGGCTCTCGACTCCCTGCCAACTTCAACGTCCTGGTGACGGAGAATGCCGACAGCGTTCGCACCTTTGCAAAGGAGAGGTGGGCCGCCAGACAAGCCGCCTCGAGCGAGGCCTCACCCCGAACCGAGACGATCATCCTTCTCAGCGGCGACGGCGGCGTCGTCGACCTCCTAAACGGGTGCGAGGAAGTAGAATCCGCCACCGCCCTGTCGACCATCGCCCTTCTACCGCTCGGCACAGGCAACGCCTGCTTCCACTCCCTCCACCAACCCCTCTATACCGAGACGGGCCCCTCGCACATGGTCCTCGGCATACGCACACTCTTCTTTGGCACCCCAGCCCCGCTGCCCAGCTTTCGCGCTTCCTTCTCTCCGGGCGCCCGGCTAATCTCCTACACGGCCGACCCGGGCCCGCATGCGCCGGGCGATGCGGCGCTCTCCCGGCACGACACGAGCGTCGACCACCTGTTCGGCGCCATCGTCGCCAGCTACGGCTTCCACGCCCAGCTGGTCTGGGAGAGCGACACGCCCGAGTACCGCAAGCACGGCAACAAGCGCTTCGGCATGGTCGCGCAGGAGCTGCTAAAGGAGAGCCACGCGTACGTCGCCGCGGTCGAGGTGCGGGGCCCCGGTGGCAACGAGCGGAGGCGCGTGGAGCGCGAGAGGTTCGGGTACGCGCTCGCGGCCATAGTATCGAACCTGGAGAAGACGTTCACCATTGCGCCTGACAGCGGGCCGTTGCAGGGGCGGCTGAAGCTGGTGCACTTTGGGGCCGTCGGCGGGGACAAGACGATGGAGATCATGATGGCCGCCTACAAGCAGGGGTCACATGTGGGCATGAGGTGGACGAATGCGGAGGGGAAGGAGGACTATGTCGGGTACGAGGATGCCGAGGAGATTAGGGTGACGATTGGTGAAAAGGATCCGCGTTGGCGGAAGGTGTGCATCGACGGGACCATTGTCGAGATCCCCGAGGGCGGGTGGATGGCTGTCGAGACGCTGGAGAGGCCGCTTTTCAGGATCCTTGCTGATCGGTCGGTGTTGTAGGCTTATAGATGGGCATGAGAGGCGTGTGCGGAAGAGTGCTAGAATTATTGGACGAGTGGCGATGGGATGGCGGGCAATGGATCTTGACAGTAATGACTCAATACTTTCCTGCTGATAATACAAGACGACAGATTGGCTTTCATTAGTCTTCTCGCTATCGAAACCTGTCTTCATGACAGTGACTCTACGGTGTAGATAAGAAAGCGTTTAGGTCTCGTTGCAATGACTGAAGGACCTGACCGAGACGCAGAATTGTCAACTGTCCTAAGGTGCAGCATGCCGTTGATCGCCTCGAGCGAAGGCAATTGCGGTTTGAGATGCAGGGGATAAGAGATGTGACCAGCCAGGGACATGAAGACGACAGACAGGTGCGAAGCGTTGGATTCAATGTCACTCCCTCCACGACCAGGAGTTCGACAAGTACAAGTGATTCAAAACGTCAATCCCCATGTACGAGAGCTGCCCAATTACCTTGGCAGAATCCACTTTCCTAGGCCCAACGCCCCGTCGGCGGGATCCTCTCACGAAGCAATGGCTTATATGGCTCCGACAGCGGGCCCAGTGGCGCGGTAGCGTTTGCGAAATGCTATCCGCTCGTGTATGAAATCGTACGTCGAGCCCCAGGTGCAGGGCCATGACTACGATCCTCAAAGAATGAAGAACAAGTTTTGACTTTTGTTGGCCTGGGTCCTTGAGAAACTGGGTCCTCGAGAAACATCGGGACAGTGTCCGCATACCGGGCTCCCGGGCGGTGTGAATGCTGATCCAACTTGGAGGCAGAACATTGCGAAAGCCAGTCTATCGAATGTTGGTGAACGGCTCAATATAACTTTTCCTTCGTTACTTAGTTTCGTCTTTGCTCACCGAGCTACCTCGTGATCTCGAATCGGAGGCCAGCAACACCAACAATCGCGGTCGAGCATGTAAGCATACACGGCACTTTTCCAAGGCTATCAATAAATCAAGAAAGCATTGCATAGGGGATTCAGACAGTGACACAAAGCTGTCAAGGATCGAGGCTGCCATGGGTCCTTTGCTAGAGTAAAAGCTCCAACATACTCAACTAGATGACATGGGCCAGAAAGTAAATCAAGCGATAGTTTATAGCATGACACCAACGTCCTAGAATTTGTGCTCCATCGCCCTCGAGACATCCTATAAACGTCCTCCAGGTCAGTGGGAGAGACCATGTAGCTCGCTGATATACTCAGAATGTCAGACAAATGCGAGCTCATCTGACCTTCGAGTGGTGAAGGTACAAGTGAACAGAGCCCGCTCCAGAAGACGAGCCTGCTGGTTTGCGAATAGCATACTGATTGAGTCGACTCTCTATAAAGAACAACTCTATTATCATAATCTTTGAGCCCAATTCTTCAGGTGAGAATAATAAAAAAGAGACAAATGTAGTACGTATTAGGTTTATGAGCGCTCGACGTTTGTGTATAGAAAGTTGCCATGCCATTGTGTTACTTTGCAGGAAGGGCTTATAACATGAACGACTAGAAAAAGGAAAAAAAAAAAAAAACCTTTCAATCATTGAATTCATGTCATTTCGTGCCCGCCACTACACCAAATAAACATGCTTCGATGATGATCTTTGACTTGACGGGTGTCTTATGGGTCACAAACAATACTGTGTATGTTGGTCGTGGGTAACGTCTACATGTCAAGTGATAAAGAGTCTTCTCAGCTTCCTAACGGTCCGTTAAGCCCAGTTCATCGATGATTCCAAGCTCAAGATACTCTGAGATGTTGGGTAAGAGGGCATGGGAAGCGGTGGATAGAGTGTTTGCTGGTCTGGCACTCGCGGCCAGCCTTTATAGGACTCGAATGCGCCACTGGATCTATAGGACTGACTTGCAGCTCCGCGAAACATGGTCAGCCCGTTTCTTTGTTGGTATATTACATTTCATGATCCAAAACATAACCGCTTACGAAAAGTAGAGATAACCGTGCGGTACCCTATGATATTGTCCCCAGAGTTTGAGAGGCTGGCTGCAAGGCTATCGTCAACGAGAAGTCCTTGACCGTCCGCGAGGTCCCTATTGACCTGAAACGTCTTGGATTCTATGACCTTCTGGCTTACGGTTCGATTTCTTGTCTTTTCAGGATGATGATGCGATACGAGTGTATATCGAGTAGTATAGTGACACCTCAGTAGGTTCTCGTGTCCTTGCGTTATGGATAATTCAATTCGCTAATCCTGTATACAGTCAGACTCTCAAGATGAGGCTCAATACCTGATTCGACACAAAGTTCGAGAGATTTATGAGTAGCTGTACTTAAGTTTTGGACAATAAAACTAATGACCAAGCCATCCGGACAAAATGCAGCATCGAAACACCCTCTGTTGAACGCGCCAGTCCCTCACTTCGTAAACATGTCTTTCCTGTCTTGCTAATTCAGAGTGACCACAACGTATACAGAGTTATAACGAGTGAAAAAGAAACGGAAAGCACTAAGGAGCTCTTGGTAGCCTTGATCGTAAGAACTTGTTTCGTCAGAAGAGTTCCGACGTTGTCTAGTTTCTTACCAGGATGACCGATTTTTGGGGAAGATACATGTAAACATGATATGGGGTAACCGGGTCTTTTTATATTGATCGGATGAGCAACCGTGATGAAATACTCGCTCGCGGCGAGGTGAAAAGGCATACAGAGCTGGAAGGGAAGCTAGCTGTTTGCCTCTGTGTGTGTGTGTGTGTGTGTGTGTGTGTGTGTGTGTGTGTTCAATACCTCAAACTACACGGTTGCCACATTAGGGCCGGAGTTTTACACTTGCGACTTTTGCACTGCTACGAAATGGCTGGGATGGGTTGTGATGATGATACTGTCTACCTTCTGGCGCGGATGTATTTTACTTTATAAATCTGCCTCCTTTCCGGAGGAAGAGGAAGGGCAATTGTCTTCAAAAGGCACAGGGCGGCGAAGCTCGTCATCGAGGCATATATCCATCGAGCATAGTGATGAGAAGCCGCAAAGCAACGTGGATTCAACGATGGCTTGGGGCATGGCACGATTTACTTCTTCCCGTTGTACTTGTCCCGGTATTTTCTCGAGAATAGCCCCCAAAACGGTAGTCAATATGAAATGCAGATAGTAAGAAGCCTGAAAAGTTCAAGATGCAAAATCCGGGAGAGCCCAATCTCCTTCTCAAGCGAGTGCGATCCATACCAGTAAACAAGCTTTAAAGAAGCTTTCCGCCACCTTCCGAGCCCCATCAAAACTTCAGCAAAAACTCAACGACATGGTAACGCTTGTGGAGCCGAGACAAGACCGCTCATGGAAACGACTGAAAGGCCTAGCGGGTTCGAAACGCTAAACATCACAACGCTTCCCCTTCCCATACCATTGGTGGCGGCAATGTGGAGATTGGGACCGATGTTCGGCCTTGATATTTCCTCACATCAACCCCCCCCCCCCGGTCGAGTAGCAACCGTGCAAAATTCAGATCTCGTACGGAAAGTTCTAGCAGCCGAAGTCGGGTTTCTTGAGGTATCTGATAACATTCCCACAGCGGACGCAAAGACGTCTTCGAACCCCCTTTTCGGGTCCCCTGATTTCACTCGAGACACAAGACGAAGGAAGGATGTTTTACTCCCAATGCCAGGGAAAAGGGATGGGCATTAAGACACGACGATCAAGACCCATGCCGTCGCGTGCCGGCGCCCGTAGACGGCATTGGGACATTCATGCCATTATGATGGGGGAATCTCTGATCACATACAGCTGCCCAAAACCTTCAAAACAGGGAGCCGGCACCCGCAAGCTGTTTCGCGCTATTCCCTTCGTCGCCAATCTCCCAGCCACAGCAGAAACGTTGCATTCCTCGGCAAGAGGACTGGAGGCGAATGGGGGCAAAATCTCCGTCCTCGGGCTTGGGTCAGCCCGTGAAGGAAAAAGCAAAGGGGATGGGGTTAGCAAACCCAAAGTGGTAATTCGTGACGCTGCACGCAGGCTGTAAATGCCCGCTGCTGTGCACCCCTCGGGCCGACGATATCATCGTCAGCCACCATCCCTGTCGCCCCCTTTGAACAGGCCTGGATCGTGAGAGTGGCTGTCCACTTGAGTGACTGCATGGCCACTCTTCGAAAACGATGAACAGCGACTCTATATCGTATATAGATGCCATAAGGTCGCTCGTATCTTTGGTGGCTGCGGGCGATAAAATAGTTCAAGCACGTTACCGGGAACGACACCCAGTAGGAAGTTCCTGTAGTAATCTGATACCCATAGAGCAGCATCATCCACAGATTCGGTGCAACTGCGCGAGGCAGGGATCTGGCTTTGCGTTCCCAGGAAGTATGAGATACCTACATCCCTGAAGCTAAAGCCACAACTCGGGCTGCGGGGTTTGGTACGAATGATCGTGGCATTCAAGGAGCGGCAGGCGCCTGAGAAGCGCTGGAACTGGAAAGAGCACCCCGAGCTAACGACGATGAAGGAACGGAATGGGATACAGCCTGAAAAGACTATCCACCCTAGACACAGTGTGGCGGCAGTTGCCAATCTCGTTTGCGGAAGGAGCTTGCCGCTTGCCGAAAGACGCGGAGACGCGTGGCCAAAGTAGAGGATTCGGTGAAAGACCAAGGCAAGATGGTGGGAACACAGCAACGCCAGCTTAGATGAAGGAATGTTACCATCATGCGGTCGATGCCATGTCAGCGGATGACGCTGCGGTGAAGGGATTAGAACCTGTGATCTGCATGTAGTAAGACGTAGGGAGAATGGCGTCCCATTCCTCCCGGGAGCCGTGAGCGCAATGTGCCGGGCTCAATGGTAAGACGGGAGGATCTCTAGCTATCCGTAAGGCTGAGCAGCATAGAAAGTTTGTACAACACTAGGTAGCCATGGATCCAGTTACATGTGGGGGCAGGGGGGAGGGGGGAATGCTTAATAGACGCTGACGAGAGACGCGCTGCGTGAATGCTATTGGAATGCTCTGTTGAGTGTGGAATTTTGACAAAGTATTCAGCTGTTGATGACGGCGAGCAAAAGAGAGGGCCAGCCTGAGACGGTGAGCCGGGCGCGGACGAATGATGTTCAAGCAGAATGACACTGCCGAGACTTGGGCAAGGCTGGAAGTAAGACACGGGGAAAGGGAGAGGGCTGACTACAGCGCAAGGGTTTGAAATCTATGACGCTTAGAAAATGTCATTCCGTCCACGCATCTGTCCAGGGCCGATTCTTGGTGTGGAGTGGATACGGCGGCTGATGTCGAGATGGGCGGCTTTGGATAGGGAAACGGAAGAGATTGGAAGCCTGATCTCGTAGTCAGAGTCCGAGAGGAAGTCTGAGCCCAGGGCAGTACGGCAGCAATGGAAGTGACATGCCTCCACTTGACATCGGATCATCCCTTTGGTGTTCGGTGAAGGTACACCGCGCCCGGACTTTACTTGCTTGGCGCGCACTGTGCACCCTGCACCCTAGCGCGCCGTTCGTCCCATCCACTCTCCCGTCCAGATTTCACCGACTGTCGACGACGTGTCTCTTCTGGAATTGTTGCAAATCAAGGCCTGATTTTAGTCATCTTAACGTGGCCCACAACGGAAACGCCGTGGTATCTCAACATTTCAATGAGAACTAGCCCGGTCGAAAGCAGCCGCGCTTGCAAGATCTGCCGGCAGAGAGATTCCCCTCAACGGGCGCCTTCACTCGAGCCAGGCGCGCGCAGGGTCTGGTCCGGGAGAAGCCAGCCCCTCACTCCACGAATGGAATGAAAGACAGAGTGACATGCCGTCTTGTGCCGTCTCTCGTGCATCCTTATTCCCAATTTTCGCCCCCTTTCCCATTCAAAAATTATGACTCTTCTGAGCAGAGGGGGCATGAGACAGGTGAAAGCGAGAGACAAAATTATGGCACGCGGGGGTTGACTTGATAGGTATCTTAGACATTTTCTGCCTCTAAATCTAAAGTGGAGATTCCTCCGGAGCCCTCCACCTGCCCACCTCTCTCCCTCCCGAGTACCTTGTAATCTTAGTCTCTTTCTCTCTCTCACTCTCTCTCTTTCTCGGTGTATGTCTCCCCCCTCCCCACAGTCAGGGTGCTAAAGCGAACAGGGACAAGCCAAGGACGCGGACACGCGCTGGCGCGCACAGGCTTTAGGCTTGTCTCTCGGGCTCCAAGACTAAGGTAAGGTAAGCGAAGCCCATTTCGTTCTCGGCTCCGTCCTCGTGCTGGCGCTGCAGCGCTTTCATCCTTTCTTCTTTTTCTGCCCGCCCGCGGGACCTGCCTTTCCCATCCATTCCCCCCCCCCGAAGGCTAAAACCAAAAGAAGTAATGAGAGGTTCCTTAGATCGCTCCCACCTCTCTCCACAGGATGTCACTCAAAAACCTTAATTGGACATCAGACAAAAAAAGTTGTGGAGCTCGTTCCTGCGCCTTGTCTGCGCAAAACACTACCAAGCCAACCTCGCTTGCACTCATGATCTGCTCGTAGGTGAGATTTGAGAAAGCGAGAATGGGCTTGCGGAAAGGGGAGAGCATTGGTAAGCAAGCAGCAAGGTAAGCAATGGGCGAGAAGCAGGCTCCGAGGATCCGAGGAGAAAGTGTGTGGGCCAACGAGACATGCATTTTCCGTCATGGCCTCGATGTTCGAGCGCACCCTTGGGTGTGGTCGCCCGTCAGCCGGGACACGCCCATATCGTCACGCAGTGCCTATGATGACGGGTTCTGTACTGTACCCTCTGGAGAGGCAGGGTTCGGAATTCAATCTTCTTGGTCTCACCGTTTCCTACCTGCACGTTTCCTAACTGCATTGCTCATCTATCGAACAATGAACAATGCTCATTCATCGCAATATATCGGATTTGGTAAGAAAAGGCATCAGCCGACATTACACCTTGCCAGCGCTTCGGATCGTGCATACCGCCATCTCCGCCCTTGCCTACAACTGTCAACCCCGGGCCATTCCGACCGTTTCTTCCTTAGCTAAGCCCGCATTCCCCCCTGTCTACCGATTTCTCCATTAATTTATCTCTCTCCCATGTCTTCCCTACGGACTTTTGTCACTTAATCCGGGCTCCTTTAACTATGAACAGGAACTTGTCTTTCTCGCCATTACAGTTTTATCAATCTCATCACATCATAACGGCTATCGTATATGATAGCAAGTATCCTTCACCGATTAGTGGAATTTATACCCAATCAGCTAGAAATCTGAAATAACCCAAACCCTCATCCGATCATAAGGAGCCAGCCCACCCAGTCACAGGAAAGCTGATCACAGGATATGCGCTCAAGGACGCGACCGACGCCGTGCAACAAATCTATCCAACCACCACCTGATGGAAACAAGCCCCTTTTCGTCACTTACACACCTCTCCCAACATGAACGGGTTGCCGCGTTTTGCACAGCCCAATAAGCCCATACATGAGCCCTCGCCTCGTCCTCCCAATCCAGCAGAACGGGGACTAACAGAGCCAAGAGAAGGAAGAAAAGACCATCAACTCCCATTTTCCCTGAAAAAAATCAAGTACACAATGCTTTCACTGCTTTGATAGAAGGTTACTCCTTGAAGTAAGGTAATCAAATAACTGATCCGCAGGCACCCGTCGGCGTCTCCCGCCCACGCGCATGAACCAACGGCTTCCAACATCATCACCGCTCAAATCTTCTCATCCTTCCCAACCCTCTCATTTTGCAAGTTTGCAAAGGTCGCGATCCCGTCTGCCACCCTCCTGAAGTTCGAATTACTCTCTTCCGGCCCTCTCCCGTCGTTCATGCTGTGTTCCGACAAGGCTCGTATGGAACCAGACCAGCGGGAATGTGTTCTAGTTTTATTTCCCAGTGAGTATCCATTTTTCCAAACCATTCCATTACAACCCCCCCCCTTCAGTTTTCGTTGGCTTCACCCCTTCCCTACTTTTACTTCCCCCACTCCCTTATCCTCTTCTAACTGGTTCGCAAATGTGACAGAAGGCCCCCAGAACACACACACACACACACACCCTGAACGAGAGAAAAGAGAGAAGAATTCTGCAATCAGCGGGCTCGCCACAGCCATGGCCCCAAACAATGCCAGTCCCCTCCCCTCCCCTTCTCCCTCTCTCTCTCCCCTGCCGCCCTCGTGAAACCCACCACACCTATACCACCACACCCTTTACTTACCCACGAACCCGTGGATGTGCCAAACCATACCACCCTAGCCCTTGCTAATTTCCACCCAATATTGATGCTTCATCTACCCGATGGCTGGCAAGCCTAGCTGGAAGGGAGGGGGTTTGATCTCCGGGCCAAGCCGACAGAAGCAGCCGTGCAGCCGTGCAGGGGGTTACCGGCAATGAGGAAGGGAAGGCAAACCGTAACAAAGCGACATTCAAGTTTGCTTGCCTTGAATCTTGCATTTTCCTATTCCTCTATGGCCTTGCTGGCAGCTTGAAAGAAGGGGGGGGGGTGGGGAGAGGGAAGGAAATGGGATCCTTGCCCTCCCCCTCACCCCAACACCCTATCTGTCTGCCCCTCGGGCTCTGCCCAGCCTCCCTCCTGCGTGTTCTGTCGCATTTCAACTATACCCGTCGTTGGATTTCTTCAAAGACGAAAAAAGACGTTCGCACTCTGTCCAGTCAGGGCCGTCCCCTACGAGTAATGGGTAGACAGTAGATTTAAAATCAGACTGATTCATGGCACAATGTCAAATCAGGCCTATAGAGTGCTTCGAGGCAGCATAGTTTCAAGAAGAATGGTAATGTTTGTTTCGGGGGGGGGGGGGGGTAAACGATGTCAGAATTTCGCCGCAAATGAGAAAATATGTGAAAGGGACAAAAGGTTAAGTTGCCGTGATGATCCCAAAATAATAAACAAACCAAGTACCTGGCATTGGCGCCTGCCGTTGCTTCCCCAGTACCTGGCCCTCCGAAATAGTCCCGCCTTCAACTTGTTATTCCATCCCCTCTCCCCGCCCAAGCGCTTCAACGTCTCTCTGTTTCTTTCTCTCCTGGCGCTTGTTCCCGCCCCGTCTTGCCCGTTTCCCTTCATGCCGTGGTATCTTTCTCCCTACTGCCCAACTCGATAGAACTAAATTTGTCTTTGTTGAAGCGAATGTTCCGTATCCTCACATTATTACAACACCGCTTGACCTTTCGAGAAGAGGAGAGAGGGGTTCCAACAGAGAAGAAGGCGTGAACGAAGGAAAATCCAAACCAGAAGAGAAATAAAATTCCAAAATAAAAACCGGAAACAATGCGCGACGGGTATCCCTAACAATGTCTGTCGTTCATCGTGTCCCCCTTGCCCCTGGCCGACATGTCTTTTTTCCCCCAAACTTTTCCTTCCCAAGATGTTTCATTGTCGTGTGTGCTGGGGGCAAATTTCCCTCGGTCCCATTTCAAACCACATTTGTCTTTCTCTTTTCCGCGCGCCAATTCGCCGTGATTCCTTTGTTTTGTTTCCCCCGCCCATGTTCAATGTCAACAGTGCATTCAGTCTCGTTCGGGTATCGAGTGGTGCCTTGATGCTTGTGTTGTTCCCATACGCCAGAATCTCGCCATCATATTTATGCCAAATTTTCATTATTTCTTCGGGAAATGAGAACAGAAGAGTGTCCGAAAGAAGAACAGCTGTTTGCTGATAAACAGTTTGCCCAATTCCTGCGGGTGGACCCTTAGGGCCGCGTGGTTCCCAATTGTACAGACCGTGGCCCAACATAGCAACCTTGATTTTCGCCAAAGCCGCCCGTTCGTTTTCATGTCATGTTGGAGACGTTGACACCGGATTGGGGCACCATGGTTGGGTAATACCCACCGGATGTTGATTTGCCCTCGAAAGGACCGCATCTTTGGTTCGACATGAGCGCCCCAGGCTGGAAAATGCTTGGCAGCATGGCCCCCTCCGGATCACGCTTGACTCTTTCGTGAAGCGGGTCGTAGGCTGGCGTCATGTGCGGTACCAAGTTCTCCTGCGTGTTCCGATTGTGGGTGAACATTTCCACACCGCCCCTTGAATCGCTTGCGTCGTAGATGTGGCCCGGAAAGTATTGGTACTCTTTCGTCGTGTCGATGGCTTTGGCGTCCTCCGGAGGTAGCATGGTCTCGAGCTCGGGATGATGTCGAGTCGACCCGTAATGAGTGCTTCCCCGGGAATCGAAACCTCCGCCGTAGCCGCTTCCCACCATGGCACCTGCTGGCCCAAAGTCGGACCCAATGATCGGGTTGTTTGAGTAGCCGGTGAAGCTCCCGCCCGAACCTCCTGGCCCGCTGCTTGTGCTGGCACGCCTCTCGCTCTGGTAATGTCCCGGAGATCGGCCGCGCACAATCATCTTGGCCGACTTTCGATAGGCGATCCGTACAAAGTTGTCCGGGCCTTGCGATCCTACGTCGGCCCATAACTCAATCAGAAGGTGATAATACTGTTGGGCCGCTCGCCTCTTTCCATTGTTCGCCGTGGCCTGCTTGAACTGGATGCGCTCGAAAGTGTGTTCCGTCTGGTACGAGTCACCGCCACCTTGCTGGCCGCCGAATCCCCCACCGGCGTCGTAGCCGATTCTTGATGGGCCCCCCAGCGTGTTATCGTGGGAGTAGAGACCCAGGGGGTGTGCTGCCATTTGAGGGTGTTTCGGGTGAAGGCGTACTTTGCTGGGCTTCTCGACGGGACCTTTATCTCTCTTGGGCGTATGCTGTACGAGTTCGATGACATGGGAGTCATTGTCAGCAACAACGGCTGAGATGGACATGGCGAATCCGAGAACCGAGTACGGCTGCGTTGAGCCTTGTTGGGTGAACTGCAAAGCTTGGCCGGGATAGTGAGGGGTCAAACTGAAGGAGCAGATGCAAGAAAAGTAGTTCCTCCTGTAGCAGGTCCAGTCTCCGTCAGACTGGAAGAAGCCCTTGTCAATGTTGCCGTGTATGTCAATCTTGACTTGCATGCCCCCTCCTTCGGTGTATTGGAGAATGCCGAGGGGAGTGATGGGGCTCAGGGGAGGCACGCTCGCCTGCGCCCTGGAGGAGGGCGAAGTGTAGTGGCCGGGATCCATTCTCAGAGCCGCGGGCGCTGTGAAGCCGGTGATGGGGCTGGATGTTGGCGAGATGGGGTGGCGCCGTAGAGCAGTTGGGTATGATGGGGATCTGGGCTGGTGCTCCGACACCCTCCTGAACGATGGCGTCGCCGGAGAATACTGGTCTCGAGTGCTGATGTGTGTGCCAGGATGGGGTAATGTTGTGGAGCGGTGGGCATGTGCCATGCCCGTTGAAGAGGTGCTACTGTCAAGTAAGTCTGTGAGTTTGGCCATGTTCTATCTTGACAGGACAGGATCGATTCCATCTGGTAGCATGTCGGAGGGGGCAACGGTGTGCGACCTACTTTGAGCCCAGGCGAGGCCTGACGTCGAGGCTGGAGAAGACGTGTGAGGCGGCTGGATGGTAGAAGCCGCCGTCAGCGGAGTACGGAGTGGTGTTGGTTATAGGTGGATTGAACAGGTTTAAGAGTGTCGGCTGTTGTGGAGGGCCATCGATCGTCGACAGAGAAGCATTTGCGTTGTGTTCGTATCTGATGTTCTCGTCAGCCCAAGTGGCTCCCCGAAAGAAGAGGCTTGTACAAAGCAAAAAGGTTGGAAGCCTGGCACGACAACTGCTGTACCGCATCCGCATGCGAGACACAGTGTCAGTGCTACCAGCTCGTCGTACTGCCAGCAACGTGTTGCACAACGGCCAGCGGATACTGGATCGGGTCATGCGAGGACACACCACCATCTCGCGGCGATAGGCGGGAACGCCTGCGGATTTCTAGTCGCACGTTGGTTGCCAGAAGGCAGTTACCCACGCTTGCCCATCCTTCGCCGCTGCAAAGATCAGATCTCCTTGTCTCTGTATACGTCTTTTCCGCGTCCAAGGCACGCCAAACCATCAGGCTGAGCCGAGAACCGACCAGAAGAGAAGTTTTCGAGCCAAAGAGTCTGTATCTTTGGTAGGGCTCTCAAAGTCAAGAGTGCGATTGCCAAGTCGGTGGTGGAAATCTGACCAGGGCTCCAAGTAATTGGATACCTTGAAGAAGACCAGAACCGACCAGGCCTGCACATCGCAGCCCCGAGAGAGAAGCAGAATCCGTGTTCCAAGCGGACCCAGACAGAAATCAAACAAGGAAAACGTTACATACCGCATGTCATTGCTGGAAGCTGCTTGCATGTCAAGGTAATCATACCCTGTCGACGGTTCGAACTCCTGTTTGGGCGGTATCACTTGTTAGATCATGGCTTTTCTTCCTGGAAGAATGAAATGATGGGAATAAGAAGGAGATCTCGCAAAGTGATCTGGATGATGTGCCGTTGCTGGAGGAGTAGCCGGGGGGAGCTGTGGGTGTTGCGGGGGGGGCGAGACGCCTCAGGCGTGATCCGCCACAGACAAGTAGACAGAGGGGACAAGCGAGTGACCTGCGGCACAATCATGGGCGATAGTTAGCTGGGCGTGCCAAAGAGAGACATCTTCCCACAAGGAGGTAACATGCGATAAACTAGCTTAAGAATGAGGTAGAAGAGGGAGGGGGTGGGTGCTGGTATTGGGGCTGACCGGTCTGGGCCTGGTCGGTCTCGTTGAGCCCGACCGATGAGGAGACGCGGTGGATGCAGCGGCGGCAGACAAGCAACGGCAGCGGGAGCAGCAGCGGAAGGAGAAGGGGAGATGGCGGAGGGGAGGGGAAGGGAGACGGGGAGTGACTGAGAGACACAGAGAGACACAGAGGGAGAGAGGGTATGTGTGTGTGGATGAGTGAGAAAGAGAGAAAGAGAGAGAGAGGCGAAGAGAGGAGGCAACATGGGAAAGACACGGTACAATCCAATACAATCAGACACCACAGTGTACTTGCTTGCATGACTTGCAGATGAGCGAGCCTGCCGACAGGCCAAAGTGATAAGTCGTGCAGAGCAGACACACACACACACACACACACACACACACACACACACACATCTGCACGCATACATTGCTCTCTCACGCTCTCACGCCCGGGAGGCACACCTCATATCAACCCAAGAGCGAGCGAGTGAGTGAGTGAATGAGTGAGTGAATGAGTGCGAGGCGCCACGATGCCCCCCCTTAGCAGCGCGCCTTTGGTGGTGGTGGTGGTGGTACCAATCGTCTCCGAGTCTTGTGCTCCTCGTCCCATCAGAAGGGCCTATGGAACTCTTAGGTCCCAAGGAGAGAGCAAGGAAACGATAAAGCACAAAAGCATGCGACTGGGACAATTGCATGCGTGTTGGTTGTCCTGAATGGGCTGCCCAACGTGCTCTGCTCTGGTCCGTCGAGCTTGTTTTTTTCCCTCTTTTCTTCTTCTTCCTCTGGCCCAAATGTAATTCCAAGGGGAGGCCGGTGATTTGAGATGGCGAGGGAATTAAAAAAGAGAAACAAGACCAACTCAAAGTGCCGTCGACGAATGTGTGCAAGGCAGGAGAGACATAGAAAAAGCAATGAGCGCCAAATCGCGTACGCACCTTTTCGCGAAGCCTCACTCGGCCCGCTTCCTTGCCTGTCCGTACTTCGGGACAGGATCAGGCCGTCGGGACGTGGCTAGGACGTGGACGGTGGACCTGGACCAGCCCTCGACTCGCTCGCCCTTCCTTGCCTGCGCCACCCGTTGAAGGCGTTGTTGGTTTCTGCGCGTCTGTCTCGCCCGTGCTGTCCTATGTCCTATGCTTGTCTTGTAATGTCTTGTCTTGCCGTTAATGCTAATTTGTGCCGGATCGTAGTGCGCTGATGAGCTAGGTATGCAGATCCGACCCCGGCCGCCGACGGATGGTCGGAGTGTTTTTTTTTTTTTTTCCCCCCCGATTAATCAATCAAAGGTGATGAACATGCCGGTCCATTGTTGCTATTGTTGTTGGTATGTTGCAGTAGCAGCCGTAATTGTTGCTCGTCTCCCGGTGATAGGACACGACGTCCGTCGTGAAGTAAAGAAATGGGAGGGAAAAGGGAAGGGAAGGGAAGGGAATGAGGGGAGCGTGGGAACGAAGCCCAAAAGTGACATTGCAGGGGTTGTTCGATCGGGTAAGGCAGGATAATGGATAAGGAAAGCAAAGCAGGCGAAAAAGGGAGGGATTCCGAAGGAGAAAAATGGATTACGGATACGGTACCTTGGGTAGCTGTTGAGGATTCATACGACGGTCGTCGGCGGCGGCGACGAGGGGTGTCGCGCCGTAGTAGAGGGGCGGAGATCTGGTGCTGATACTGGCGCTGGTACTGGTGCTGGCGCTGGAACAGCGCTCTCGTCGCCCCAGTTCCTCGATCCTCTATTTCGACACCGCAGTTGTCAGCACCACAATGTTCCCATCCAACATCCTGGTTTCCAAACATTCCACCAAATAAGCCAACCAACTTGCCCGCCTTATCCTCTCCCTCTACCTGCGGTCTCGAAATCCAGACGGACTGGCTCGCTCCAGCTGCTCTCTTGTCCCCAATACTCGCTCCTGGCTGGCTTCCCTGCAAAGCTTCAAGACCACTCTGCGTAGTTGCTCGGCTTCTCGACTCCAAGCAAAACACGTCCTGGAACTCGATCCAAGACTCGGCGCGGGACTATGGGGCTTCGATACTCACCGGTTGACTCTCCAAGAGTGCCCCTGTCATGCCAGGGGTTGCGGGCAGCTCTTTATCCTGCTTGACCTAGCCAATTCCATTCTGCCGTCAGCAACGGAACCGACTTGCGTCTCTGTCAGAAACAAACGTGGCCGTTTCTGTTGACCCATGAACGAATCCCAGCCTGGCTCAACAACATCATCGACTGCGTTAGGATACCGCCATCGACCCACGGATAAGGCAAGAATTAGCATCGCGCCGTCAGAGCTGTGCCGTAATCATTGACAAATGCTCTCGTTAGATTCAAAGCTTATACAGCACACATCAAGCTGCTGTCTTTCCCCGTCTGTCTGGTTGCGCATTCCTGGTTGAAAAAGGTCTGACTGGGTCGTCTTCTTGCAAACTAATCACCGGCGAACGCGGGCTCACTTACTCGCAGGAAGAAGAGCACGACAGATTGCTACACCTGCCACGAAGTTAGTCCTTGTTCTCTAGTGATAAATTGCGCCGCCGCTTCGGCAACAATGCCTCGCAGACGAGCGATTGTCCCCGTCCGCAATGGAGGCGAATCGGATCCTGACGCGGGGGATCCGGCAAGATGGGTCCTAGCTAACGAACCCTGGTGCAAATCTCGCTGGGTGGTTACCCTCCACTTGCCAAGGGCGGGCCCTTTCCGCAAAAAAAAAGTATGGTAATAGTCCACGAGAAATAAGAGGTGCGGCTAGACTTACTCAACGACGATTCTCTCACGGGCCAACTTCACAAGTTGGTCAGATGGCAGACTCGTGTCGGCTAAAGTCTTATCTCTCCAAGTATCGGATCGGCTTTCGAAATAAAATGTTGTAGGAAGTTGTGCAGAGAGTATTCAGTAACTGAATCGGTCGATACCGCTAGCCGCTATTCGATGTAAATGGTGATGTCCGAAGCAGCATCTGTTCTTGAGATGCAGTTGACCAAGTCGAGGAGTCTACGAGAGGCCCGAAAAAGTGCAGGATCTTGGAAGCAAGGTATCTATATACCCTGCCAGAAGAACCCCAGATGTGGCTGGCTCAAGATCGCACAGAGGTAGCAGAGATGGGTTGGAGGCTCAAACTGCGACTGACTGCTGGACACGGTCGCACAGACCAAGATAAAGCAGACAACTGAATTTCGCAGGCATGGGTTCTGCCGATGACCTAGGGTCCCAAGGTGCAAGGAATACAATATACAATATCGGGGAGAGGTAGGGCGGGGGCCTCCGCGCGTGAACAACAAATGGGTTGTGCAGTCTCTGAGACAACGGTAAAGAGACATTCAGTTGTGTGGAGAGCTCCCAGAACCCCCGGCCGACTTCTCGAAGAGACGTACTTTGCGTGCCTTTGGTGGTTCTTTTGCTAGAATACGATGCCAGGTGTGTAAAGCGGGTGCGCAGGGTTGGAAAACTTTCCAAGGCCAAGCCGTCAAGCAAAGGTACCGGGGACCGGCTAGCCAAAGTCGAGGTATTCTGGGCAGGGCGTGGGATTCTGTACAACTCGACTTTGCTGCTGGCCAAGCTCCTCAATGGCCTAGGTCCATGGGGTTATTCAGGCAAGCAAGTCTTTGTGGCCGTGTCTGAGGGTGCAATCAAGATGGAATGGTACTATCCCACTCATCAATCCGCGAGCTGATAATCGCTCAAGCCCGATCGCTACGGACACTTAGTCCAGGCAACGTTTCCATCTCCCTAGTCTGTACATGATACAGCAGATGGATTCAGGCTTAGATCAAGACATCCTTTTCGAACCAAGGAGCGGAGGATCTACTGGCCTGCATCTGCGTGTAGCCGGGGTAGTCGAGGTCCTCGGCTGGTGAGCGGAAGAGGACGCCTTCCAAGCCTCGCTGAGCTTTCCTTCCATGCATCAAATCTGCACCTACCCGTTCATCAAGGGCCTGGATGAAACGCCACAAACAACCCCTTCAGATAGGGAAAGGATTTGCCTTGGCAACAAGGTGGGCTATCAACGGCAGCTTGCAGTCGTCGTGAAAGCAGACCATGGGCGTTTAGCGGACAATCCCAGCCATTGAGATCCAAGTGTCGGCATGACGTCCAAATTCGACCGACACCCTGCTTTCGGTGTCGTCGGATTGGCTGAAAGAACTTGAATTGAAGCGATTTCGTTTTGGAGGAGCTCTGACCTCGTGTCATCGGAACAATTGTATGCAGCCAGAGAACTACAAGCTTGGGCTGACGGGGATGGCGGAGGCAGCCTCACGTCTTCTACGGATACAGCCACACCAAGGACACGTTTGGCAACAATCGTGGTCTTGCTGAAGATCCACCACGTAGCTTTCGGCCCTAAATCCGCCATGCGCCGCCATGCGTCCAACATCCTCTGGTGGCTTGTTCATGAGCACAACGCTCGAGCTCCCCAGAATCGAGCCTGATGAACCACGGGTAGACTCGACCTGGAGAGGCGTGTCTCGGCCGGCAGAGACAGGCTCGCCACATGACACGTGCGATGAGAATAGGGTTCCGCCTTAACCTGGCTGACAGGTTGCCATCGGACCATTTCTCTCCACGACACTGTGCTCCTAGGTTGTCTGCGCTTACTTTGACTAGCGGCTTGAGCTTGAGTGACCGTACCGAACGCCTCTACGAGCTTGGGAAGACCGAACTCATCATCCTTGGAGTCAAAGCATGACAATGCAGGATTAGAACAAACTTGAGCCGTGCCTCTTCGCGGGGATCCAATGGGATGTCGCAATACCCGAGAATGGTAGAAAGGCGGGCAAAGCTAATTCCAAACAGTTCCAAAGAAGTTGTAGACCGGCCAATCTCCTGCCTGAGGTCGTCAATCCTAATGTCGGGAAGATAGGCTCTGCACCTCGTGTTCACAAGTACGGACCCAAATTAGGCCAATGCGTTAAGTGATTAAGTCGTTTGTGCAGGTTCCCGTTGACTAGTCCGGAAAGATCTAGACAATTGTACCTGATGCGCGCGCCACCATACATGAGGCATGGAGCCAACTTCATTGTTTCAGAAGTCTGATTCCCAGGTCATTTTGGGCCACGGGACTGGCCGGTTGAAATATGGCCTGACATCCATGGAGAAGAAGAATCAGTCCAGCAGGGCAGGGTTTGCACGTTGGGCCTTTTGCAGCACACGGGCAGAGCCACGACCAGCACTCGTGAAACGAATTTCGACCAAATGAAAGCTGATGTATCGAGGGCCGAGGGCCGAGGCTAGCAAGCAGCTGGTCGAGGGTGGTCCAGTCACGTCGGATCGGGCCGCTCAAATTTGAGTGTGGCCGTTTCTTTGGCTCGTTTCAACGCCGCCGCCGCCGCTGGCAGCTGCTAATGTTGTTGCTACCGACGGGACGGCAGAGGTGTGAGGGTCGCTGACGATTGCTCTGTTGTGTTCGGCAACATGCCATCGACATGCAAATCATAATGCGCCCCCCGATGCGAATGTAGCTTATTTCCAGCACAATGTGCCGGTTTCTTCGTCGTCGCCTGCGAGATGAAAGTGTAAAGGGCACCATTTCCCCATGCTTTTTTTTTTTTATTTTGCCTGCTTCCAGAGATCAGATCTTGTGTGATGTGACGTATCACGGACACCAGGGTCCTCTCAGCGGTGGGCGGACACTGGCCGAACAGCAGGAGACTTGACGGCGGGCTTGCTTCAGTAAAGGGGCTGCTGCTGCTGTTGTTGTTATTGTTTTTTGCTGATGGTCCGGCGTGCAGAAAGCGAGTCACTGTTGCATGAGGCCACAGCAGGCCGCCGGGGGGTTGGGGTTGGGGGGGGGAGGGGGGTCCGTCAGTGAGGGTGGTGACACAAGAATTAGCCGGGTGGTTTGGAGAATTGCAGGAAAAGAAGGCAACTGGGGTTAGATGGGTGCAATATTTGGCTCCAAGCCCGATATCAAGGCCTTGTTGATGGCATGCGTCCGTAGAGTGATGCGCTCATTATCCAGACTGTGTCGCGACGTTATCCAGCATTCGTTGTGAGTGTGATCAGGCCTTGTATATGGAGGCCACGACAGCTGCACAAATTGAGCATTTGGGGGTTGGTACGGGTACGGGGTTGGTACGGTATTGGCGAACGATCCATCACCTGGAAGCCGAGTGAAACGAGCTGAGTATTGGCTTAAGTTTTGCATTGTCGTCTAGGCTCCTTGCTTTCTGCTTGACGAGCAGGACCATTATGTATACACGACGCACAGTAGGTGTCGGCATTGTGGGTGCTTTTCTCGTCCAAGTTGGCGACGTCGATATGTTCCAATGTGCCTTGTTGGAGCTCTTCCACGACAGAGAGCTATCGGTGAGGTGCTGCACAGTGGTCAGCAAGGAGCGAGGCACGTCAGGCACTCGAGGAAAGGAGAAAACAAACATGTACATGTGGTGTGGCTGGCAGGCTTGGTCGATGAACAATCGTTGACCATTGTGGTGGAGAGAGTCTGCACTGTCTTGGATTGGTGACGTGGAGAGAAATGACGGCAAGGGAGGTCGGTGGGGGTAGCAGTAGCTGAGGAGGTTCGCACGGTACGGTGTGGAAGTGGAGCCCCAGGTGAATGTATCGAGGAGCGAATGCGGGTTGCCATTGGTTGGCGGGAGTGTGCCTCATTCTTAGTCTTCCATGTCTTTGAGAAATTCCCGGCCAACATCGACCCAGGCGTGCCAGGCTGCCTGCCGGAACGAGCCCACTGCTCGCATACTGTGCCTTCATGAGTTCACGACCCGATGAGGCAAGGGCAGGTACCCACACCCATTCTGGTACCTCCTACCTTACTTTGCTGCTTTACTTTCCCAAGCTCCGAGACGTCTTCTTCTTCCACTTCAACTTGAGGTACAGAAAAGCTCAACAAGATATCCTCTTACCGTGGCTACCGCTGGAACTTCTTTCGGGCCTCATCCGATGCTTTAGGTCTCCGCTGGCTCGCTGCATCTCTCGCTGCCACTTCCGCCCCGAGGCTTTCACCGACTCTTCGATGGGACATTTACTCCTCAGCCATACTGCATGGCGCCGCTGTTGAGAACCTTTTCTCCCTTCGCCTCATGTTTTTGGCCTCTTTATGGCTCTTGTCTTGCTACACCAGTCGCTCTATCTCCTGCGCCTCGTTCTGCGTTGATGCCTCTCCGGAAACATTGTTTCGCTGGACAAACACCCATCATTTGGAGGTCGCAAGAACGCAAACCATGGCAACTACCTTTTGCTTCTAAGAACCATCAGACTTCATACAAATTCAATGAGGATTTTCGGTCTCGCTCGCCTCCCCAAACACTCTTGTGGATCAACCCGGCCATCGGCTCCAACAAACAGATATTACGGCTATGAGACTGACAAGCCCGCAGATAATTCCGACCACCTAGCGACCAATCTGGTCATATTCTCAACTACACAACTTCTTCTACAGCACCTGGACCGGGATCTCCTCATAACCATAGATACTCGGTATGAGTCTTGACCGGACCGTGTCCCGAGCCCGTTCCAAGTACTACTTTGTACCTCTTGGGTCTTCCGGGTACCGTATGACGGCTTGCCACATGTTTTATCTTTCAGCGCCATTGCTGCCAAGTTATGCTGGGACGAGCCATGCCTCCGGATCACAATCTATCGCTGACTATTTGGGTCAGGCGTCCGGCTGCTAGCAACAACCCTACGTCTTCTCGACCTAGCATCCCAGGAATGTCTCGTAGAGCGTCCTAGCAGGGCGACAGGAGAGCCAAACGGATCGCCTTTGTTGCGTGCCCGGTCGTTAACCCCTGCAAAGCAATCAAGCATACACAGAATACTTCGACAATGTGACAGCCGCTGCAGCGATTGCGACGGGGGGGGGGTTCTTTTTATCAGACATCTCGGTAACAAAGAGGCAAGTGTGCGGAGGGAGCTACCAAAAGTGTATGGCTCTACTCTCCGGTCCTACAGAACCCTCCCGCAAGATGTCGCGTTCGCGCCGCAGAATCGACAGGGAGTGTATTTCCAACAAGACTCTCATCAGCGGGCTTCCTTGTCTGAACAGTTGCGAGGCCTGGTCTGAGGCTGGAAGAGACCAGGTAGAACAAGACCTGGAAGGAGCGACAAATTGACAGCGGCCTACCGCGTCTCATTTCATTCGCCGCGGGTATCTAAGTCCTTACCTTGGCTTGCGCTGAGCCACCCCCGTATCTGTACGGCTCACGGCAGAAGGACCCGGCATGCTGGTTGCCTTGCGAATTTGTCAAAAAGGCGGTCAAGGTAGAAACATCTAGCTTCTGTTCTACGGAGAGCAGGATCTCGTCAGTTTCAATCCCTTGATGCCCATTCCTCGATACTCTGTCTTCGCCGCAATCGTCTCTCACGCAAGGTCAAACCAGCAAGCGTAAGCCCCTTAGGCAAGAATTGGGTTGGCCGAAGTGGAGTGAGACTGCCGGCCTACGTCTTGATGCGCCATTCCAACGACGGGAAATGCTCTGTGGGCTAAACACCAAGCATCGCGACCACCGGACATGCCACACCCCCTGTCTTTGCAGGATTGTACCCCTCGGTGCGGCAACATTTATTTCAAGTGACACCAAAAGGGGCGTTAGCCGAGAAGACTCCCGCATCGTCAAATTTGCCCGCCGAGAATAATCAAGGGACTGGCTGTCTTAGTGAGGATATCCGGGATAACACAAAAAGGATCCTATTATCATCTAATGGCTCTTCATTACCAGGCTTGTTCCGAAGAACTTCAGCGCGTAGTCGAGGAAACCAGATCTGGCTGAGTCGTGGCATAAGCAGATACCTTGGGACCAATGGCTCACATGTCGCAGATCGGGTAGCGGATGTTACGGCCTTGACCATTTCGGGGCTACACGGGCCACATGAGCAGTCTCCTGGGAGCCATTGCCTTGGGATCGTCACGACATTCACGGGCTGTGACTGCCCATATACCGAAAGGGCCCTTTCTAATGGTCTGCCTGGTGGTAGAGTTATCATCGCGTTACCTTTGATATCGAATCTGGCCAATGTCGGGACACAGATTTCCGGATTTGTTCGCTTTCTCCTTCCAGATTAGGACCATTTGGACTGTCAATCTCGAATTGACAAACGCACAAGACTCCGTCAGCCTACCTTTTTGCCACCAAGCCCCATGTTTCGTCTCCATGACTGGCCCCTGACCATGCTGTGTAAGGCGTCTTACTTCCCCGCTGAAGGCCTCTGTCACGACACAAGGGGGGTGATTGGCAAAGAATCGAGAGCGGTCGATCACCCAGGTCGCCCGCCCTGGTCTGCTCACAACCTCTGTCTGTGGGCCAAAAGCATGCTCCTGATCATTATATCGACTTGAGCGTACAAGAATTCCTAATTTGAAATGTAGCGCACCTGAGGAAAGTCAACAGCGAACACCGTGTGCATAAAAGACGCACGTTGTTCACCAGGCCAATTTCAGGCCCGCCTGTCAGGAGCCTGCCACGGGCTCTCGTGGATGCAACGTTGGACGGACCCTTTATTATAGACCCATGGATCCATCGGCTACCGGACCTTCGCGACGTCAAGGTAGTTGCTGCCACGCCTTCGACTTGGCTTGCCTACCTGGGTATCATAACAGCTATCGCTCGTACGCCAACATATAGGTCCGGAGAAGGTCCAGCCCTTGATGAGGTCAAAATGATGCGATATCCTCAACGGGCTACTGACTCGTGACCATGGTAGCCCAATGGGATGACATGAGGAGAGTCAATCGACAAAGCCAATTGTGTGGGTACCCGATCTTCGAGGCGCATAGCAAAATCCGCCTTGCCTACTTACCGCTGCCTTCCCACTAGAATTCATCGTTGATTCAAGACAGTTGTTGACAGCATCAGCTGAAAAGACAAGACAAATGGCCCTCTTTGAGCTCGGGTAGATACTAAATCGTCACACAAACACATTCTGGCCACGAGGACGCATTTGGCGAGCATAATGAGCTGTGATATCCCGGCTTCTTGCATCAAACCCGACATAATAAGCCAGTACCGGATAAAAGGAGGCTTGAGGTTCAAGGCGGTCGTCACCCTGACTTGGCGGTGGTGGCGTCCATGACATGCATTACTCATCAGTCACGTCCCATTCAAAGTTTTCACGCCATGAACTGTTGCTTGATATTTATCTCAAGTGACCTTTAGTGGCTTCCCTGATGTTAATCTTACTATGGGCCTCATATTGGTTTGTTGGCCGCGCATCTGAGCAAAAGTTGCGCCCCTTGTGCTATCCCAGACGTCAAGGGCGGACGCTCAGATGGCAAACAAGCTGCGCCAGGCTTGCTTGCCGTATGCGGTCGAGCTGGGTGTGCCTCATCTTAGCTGGGCTCAGGGCACGACACGCCCTGAAGGCACATTGTCTGGTGGGAAACGACTGGCGGATGTAGTCTTAAACTCTAAAGATGCTGTTAGGTCTAGCGGCAGTCGACTTTGCAGGGGCTTTCGAAATGTCGTAAGGTGATGATGGATAGAGACCGTGGGAGATGATTGGGAGACGAACACCCAAAACCCACCCCGTCAAGTCGGGCCGCAAAGGTTGTTGTTGTTGTTGTTGTTGTTGTAAAGGGGCCTGAGTCAATCCATTCCTGTATGTCCGAAGTGGGTCTAGCCACAAGGTCGTCAACATCCTGCCGAACGTCGACCGGCAGAGCGGATCCTGCCCGCGTCCGGGCCGGGGCACCGTCTGGCGCATCCGAACGCTCAGACCACGCTTTTGGCCAGGCCCTGAGGTGGAGAGGGCCCAACTCGATTCATTCAGTGATCAGGCAAGGACATTGGGGTCCGTGTCGATTCTGGAGGGGAAGCAGCGTTTTAGCGCTTGGCGGAAGCCGACAAACAAAACAGGGCGCATGCTTGTCCCATTGCAGCATGACGTTTGTAACGTTTCCCCCCTTCCAAGCCACGCTACGGCCCTATTCCGATCCTAAAGCCACATACAGCAATTGGTTAGAGGGATCCATCAATCCTAAGGCGAGCAACAACCGCCCGGGGAACGCGAGGCAATGACTCCGTTTTCCTCATCTCACCCCGCAGACTTAGCCGACTGACTGGAGGAGCTGTCTATGACTCACAGCAGAAAGTAGCTACGACTCATCTCGTTGTTGCTCCCGCTTACGCGAGGCGGATGCAAAAGGAGGCAACATTTCAGAGTACAGGGAGTACATAGCGACAAAGCCTCGCCGGCTGGAAGCTTGTTCGTTTTGCTCTCCGACGACGACGATCGACGATAACGACGACAGCCTGCTTCTCCGCCCCCCGCCTCGACCTCCCCTTGAAAGCCTCCTCTCACAGCTTTCCCCCTTCCATACCTCGGCCTCGACCTCGCCTGGGCATGACTAAGAAAAGGCATCAAGCGTTATACTCGAAGCCGCAGTCAACTGCCCCTTCTTCACTGGGTGCCTCAGCTTCAGCGTCCTCTTCTGCCCGTCAGTCCAACCCCACGCCCATCGCACCCCTCTCTCTCCTCTTTCCCATCCTTACTTTCCGTCTCACCGAGGTCCATTACGTGACATCGCTTTGGCCACTGACAATGATGCAACATAGAGAGTCAACGTAGGGGCGTTAACGAACTTTTGGCTGATCTTCGTCGATCATCCTCCCGTGCTACCCCGACGGCATCGGCAGCAGCAGCATCGGCAGCGACCACACCCACCGTCCCGCCCGCCCTCCGACAGATCCTCCAGATCCCAGAGACGCCCCCGCCAGCGCCCAGGCGTGTTCCAAGATTCGACGCTACAGGCCGACGAGTACCACCTGGCCCACCACCTCCACGCAGCTGGTTATCACGATCCAGCCATGCCCAGCGCGCACACGCGACCGCGGCCCACCGTGGCACCCAGGCCACGGAGGGCCTGCCTGGCACGTACGAGCCTGACAAGGGCAGCTTGATGGACCTCATCCTGCGAAGGATGGCCCTGAACTGGGAGCTCCATAAAGATTACGACCAGTACTACTTGCACACGCTGCCCAGCCGTGTCAGGGCCTCGTTGGCAAAGTATGTTGGCGTATGGTACGAGGGCGGCGCGTCCGCTGCAGACCTGCACAACATCCTGATCCCTCCTCCGGCGCACGAGGGTCAGCAGCCACTCGACGTCGACGGCCTTGTGTCCCTGAACAACGATGTCTATTTTCTCGACTTGACTGGCTCGGTGGGTCACTCGATGACCGTCAGGGAGTTGGCGGACGTCCTGTTCCCGCAGCAGCTGGCGAGCGCCGCCGAGGCCGTGCAGGATTCCTGGGACACCGCAGAGGCGCCGTCGCTCCCGCCGAAGCTCCTCCCCAACATCACACACCTCTGCCTCACCGTCGCCCCCAGCGCGCAGCAAGGCGGCGGGGCGCCCGGCGTGTCATGGAAGCAGCTCCTTCCGCTGGCAGCGAAGCTGCCTACGCTAACACACCTGAGTCTAGCGTACTGGCCCGAGCCGTCGCTGACGCCCAACGCAAAGTTCTCCAAAATTGTGTCGTCTGAAGGCCGCGCCGAGGCTTATTCAGGCACGGGGGCGTACGCACACACTCTGGATGATGACTGGTCCGAGGCTGTTATCCTGCTGAGGAAGCTGAGCAAGAGCCTCTATAGGCTGGAGTACCTCGACCTCACGGGCTGCGGCGTGTGGTTCAAGGCCCTCATGGCCAACGTCGACGGAGACAAGGTCGACTGGACAGGGCCATGGGGTAAGGTCTCAACCTTAAAGTTGAGGTACGGGTATGAGATAAGCGTAGACACGCCGATTGCGGACCACGAGAGGTTCCGTGAGGCGGCGCAAATGGCGAAGGCAATTGAGAAGTACATCGTAGCGCAGAGAGCTGGAAAAGGGAGGTTCATCAACGTGAACAGTGATCAGATAGAAGATGTGCAGACGTCATTTATGCCATTCATAATTTAGCAGGATAGAAAGTCTCACAAACACAAGTGAAAACACCATGGTTGAGCCCCTACATCCGGCCCTTCAACTTGGTGCAATCGAAAGCATGTTCTACGACTCTAATCATCTCGTCCGCGAGCTTGCCGGCTCGCATCCCACAGTTCTCTGAACTTCCCCTGTCTCCGGTTTAAGAGGTGCTGGGGGTTCCCGACTTCGACAACGCGGCCCTTATCAAGGACCACGACGCGATCAAAGTCGATGACCGTGTCCAATCGATGAGCAATGGCGATGATCGTGTGGTGCTTGAATTCATCACGGATGAGATCCTTGACCATCTGCTCCGTGCGAGCGTCGACACTACGTGAATGACTAGATTAGACTTTCACAAGCGAGTAAAAGGCACTTGAGGGGGAGAATATAGTCACCTGCTCGTCGCCTCATCCAGGAGGAAAACCCGTCCGACATCTTTCCTCAGAATCGCTCTCGCGAGGAAAAAGAGCTGCCTCTGCCCGTGACTCAACGCCTCCTCTACGAATTCGGCCTCCAACCCGCCGTTCTCGCGGATGGTATCCCAGAGACCGACACGGGTCAAGACTGATATGAGAATCGCGTCATCGGGCGCCACGCCTAGCGGGTCGATATTCTGGCTGACCGTCCCCGGGAGCACGAACTGGTCCTGGGTAATCGCAATGAGGGATGATCTCAGAGGCAGGAGCGGGAGGGCGTCGATCGGTGTACCATCGATGGAGATTGTGCCCGAGGTCAGGGGTAAGAGGCGCAGGAGGGCGAGGAGGAGAGAGGACTTGCCGCTTCCTGTGCGGCCTACGATGCCGATTTTCTCGCCGGGACGGATGGAGAGGGTGATACCGTCTAGGGCTTTCGTTGTAGCGGCCTGGCTGTTGGTATCTGGTTTAGTCTGGTCGTAATAAGCGACGACTTTGTGCAGCTCGATGGCCCCATGGGAAGGCCATCCCTGAATCATCGTGGTCTCTGGCATTGGCTGCTCCTGTCCCCCGACAGACTGAATCGTCAGCTTCCTCTTCAGAGCGTCGTTCCCGACCTCGTCGGGCGTCTCCTCGGCAAATTTCTTGATCCGTGCGACCGCGCCGATGGAGGTCTCGAGCGAGGTCCAGAACTGGATCAGCATCTTGAGCGTCTCGGTGAAGGAGATGAGCTGGACGAGGGAGACGCCCGTGAGGCCGACGGATACGGAGGCGCGGAGGCGGACGGCGAGGCCGACGACGAGGAGTGCGAGCGCCGTGGTCGTGAGGTCCAGGACGAGGGTCAGCCATTGCTGGGTGAGGAGGAGGATGTAGAAAGGACGCTGGGAGCGGTCGATTAGGGTGTGGGAGTGGGAGATTGATGGGGTTGTCAGGGCGTGGGCGCGGAGGGTTACTAGGCCTGAGAGGGTTTCGAGGAAGTGGGTGCTGGGGAGATTGTTCAGTTTAGGACATTTTTTGAAATGCGTGTGTTGGGGAGTTGACTTTGAGGGGGACTTACTAGACGGGAGCTTTTTCTTCGAGATCTAGGAGGCGGAGCTGGCGGGATGTGCGGAGGTAGGCTCGTTGGATGTAGTAGAAGACAAGGACCAGGACAGGAAAGCTGATGGCGATGTACCAGGAGGCAGAGGCTACGAGGAAGGCTTTGCCGATGCAGGTGAAGAAGCCTATCGGTTCAATTGGGTTAGATATTACCGTCTTACGTTATCGTGACGGGTTGGGTGTATGGCTTACTTGCGAGAGAAATGACCAGGGCCAGAGGAAGGCTTCTGTCAATCAGTCCTACGTCTTGTGAAAATCTGGGACGCGTCAGTTCGACATGCATGAGCACGGCGTGTAACGAAGCTTACCGGGTGGTGATGGATCCGGTGTCTGTTTTGGTGAACAGAGATAGGGGAGCGCTGGATAAGATGTTAACATCTACAGTCTACGAACGTAGAGCGACGGGCTACACTTACTGCATGACGGCCTTGAGGAGCCGCTGGTGTAGACTGATACCGGACTTTGAAGTTACGGGAACGAGCACGAACCTGAGAGATCGAGGCTATCAACTTCTCATCTTTCTTCGGCAGAGAACTGCAGACTTACCAGATGAGGACGGCAAAGCACAAGACGCCACTGACTTGGAAAGCAGCGTATACTCCGAGATAGTAGGCATCATATCTTGCGGGAGTTTCCGCCTGAGAGTCCGTCCAGAACTTCAACCACACGGCTGACATCATTTTTTTAGTATGCTTGTTAAGGGTGTCAACAGAGAGTAGTGGGGAGACAAACTTGGGAAAGTAGAAAAGAACGCCCAGGTCACCTCCAAGGCCATTAATATGGCCACGAAGGAGGCGCCAACGCTGCCAAAGTAGTACCCATAGATGCTCCAGTCGCCCAGCTGTCGTCTCTTGTCGTTCTGCTCTTTCACCACCCTTGCACTTTTCTCTATCGGGGCGTCGCTCGCAATGTTGTCTGCGAGCTCTTCTGGCTTGGGAGTACTTTCATCCTGGTCCTCGGTACTGTTCAGGATGAGATTTGAAACATAACCCTTAGCCTGTCGACACTCCTCGAAGCTTCCTAACTCTGATACTTTACCGCTCTCAAGGGCGATGACCATGTCTGACTGGGATAGAAAGCTCACTGCGACTGCTTATCAGCAACATGAATTCTTATCTGTGGTAATTGCTAGGAAGTTCATACCTGACTGAGTCGCGAGAACAATTGTAGTCGCCCAAGTTCGGAGAATTCCATGCTTGGCACCAAAGACGCGCTGGAAGACCGTATTGGCTGTGTGATTGTCCAATCCGCTGAAGATATCGTCAAACAGAGCAATTCGAGGGCGTGAATAGATAGCCCTGGCAAGTGCCTGTATGTCGTCAGTTGAAGAGCGCAAATCCAGGGGAGGGGCTGCTTACGACACGCTGCTTTTGACCTCCACTCAAAGCAATTCCCTTGCTTCCAATAAACGTTTGGTCTCCATCTGGTAACTGAGCGAGGTCCTTTTCAAGGTCACAGGCCTTCAAAATCTGTTGGTAGAGGTGCGCGTTAAACTCGGAGAAACAGATGATGTTCTTTCGAATGGTCTCATTCTGAATCTCGGTCAATGATGCCTATGTATTCTTGGCATTAGGTACACTTACAATAAGCCATGGGCTCTGCTCACACCAAGAAATGTGATCACTGGACAAGGCAACCGTCCCGGTGACATGTGGCAGCTCGCCAAGTAGACCTTTCAGAAGTGTACTCTTCCCGGATGCAACCGGTCCCACGAGCATTACGAGTTGGCCTTTCGATATGCTAAAGTCCACGGAATCAATGGTGGGAGCCGTTTCGAGCTTCCACGCCAATGTCGCTTCGTGCACGCGAACAGCGCAGGAGCCCCCTGACTTTGTGTCTGTTGAAACGAGTCCTTTGTCGCTCTCCAGATTCTGGAGTTGCACATCTTGAGAGCAGGAACCGGCCCCGTTTGACGAGCTGGATGTTGAGATCGACGGAAGATCTCGATACTCTGCTCGCGGCGGTTTTGACAAGTACTTTTCTATACGATGGAAGCATCCTAGAGCCGCGCTCATGTCGAGAACGACCTCAAACATCCAAAAGAGCGGCTGGGCTAACAGAATGATCAATGACAAGGCGGAGAAGAGCGCTGTGGCATCAAGGACTTCCTCATTCTTTGACGCTATTGTCGTGTACATGGCGAAGGCGACGACGGGGGCAATCATCAGGGGTATCTGGGCAACAGCGGATGTAACGGCGCCGATCACGCGAAAGGGTGTCGCCGCCCTCATCTCGGCGAACCGAAGGTCAGCCAGAGTCTGAGAGAGTTTCTGGGTCAGGCCAGACATTTTGATGCTCTTGATGTGGCCTATCATGGCCGAGGTGATGCCTTTACGAAAGTCAGCTTAGCACGCGCGAGATATAATGGAGATGATGCTGCGTACCAATACGCTTCTGGACCTTCCCAACCCAGATCACCTGGTACTTCTGAGCAGCGGGAGCAAGAAGGACGGTGGCGCCCAGCGCAAAAGCAGACACAATGATCGGACCAGACGCTGCGTAGCCGAGATGAGTGCTGAGAATCCATGTGGCGAGGGCGATTTGGATGGTGTTGGCCCAGAATTCGTGGACTTCGCGCCAAGCACGAATAATGGCTTCAACCTAAGACGAAGTTAGTATTGGGTTCAAGATAGAGGTCAAGTGCACGACTTACATCAGTCGACATCAGAGTCACAGCCGCAGAGTCGTCTCCTGGAGCGACACGCAGCTCTGTCGTCTTTGTGTAAATTGCAGCGACCAAGACTCCTCGGAGCATAGTCAGGGATCGGAAAGCGGCGTGCCAGTAGAAGCTGGACGAGATGGAAATGCCGAGGTAGATGAGCCCATAAGCACCGATGAGGCCGTAACCATAGTCGGCGGTCTCGGAAGGGTTCTGCAGAAAGTCGAGGAAGCGGTTCAAGACCAGGGGCTGGCAAATGGTGAAGCCGAGCAGGAAGAGCCTTGGAAGGACAACTGCCAACAACTGCCATTTCAGCGTGACGATACACGTCCTGATGAGACGATACTTTGGCGGTCGCGATGCTCCACCGGACCGGTCGCCCGTGGAGGACGGGGACGCCTTCCAATGAAGCCAGAACCTCTCGTTTAGCGCAGCAGCCGACATGGACCTGTCCAGAACGAACAGATCCAGAGGCTTCAGGAGACGACGGAATCCCGTCAGCAGCAGTGGTGTAAGCCACCAAAACAGACCGCGGCTGTAGATACCGCTGGTCTCCTCAGGGCTGTACGACCGACCGCCAGCCGACGACACGACATAGCGCGTCTTCTCCTGGGCTTCGAGGATCACGATGGCCGTCTTGCACGCAAAGGACGCGGCGAAGACGGCACTGATGGCGACGCTTAAGTGCGACAGCCACATGGTGCGGAGGATGGCTCCGTCCAGCACCAGGGACACGAGGATATGTGTATTCAAGAGGGATGAAGGCTTAAGGCTCTTCGAGTGTTCTATGTACGAAAGTCCGGCAAACATGATGCTGGCTGCAAATGACGCACAGGAAGCGGCGATGGAGACGGTTCGCAGGCGGCCCGCGTCGTGGTGCGTTACCCATAGACCGATAATAACCAATTGCAACACGGCGAGGAGGGCGACGACGGCCTGTTTTGTTAGACGCAGCGGGGTGCCGTTGACGGCATACGGAAGTTTGCCGAGGTGGTAGAGGCGTAGGGGCGCGATGAGAATGAGGAACGAGGCGGGAAGGATGGTAAAAAGGCATTGTTCAAACGTAAGAGTGAAATCGAAACCGTCACGACAATGCTGAACAATTGGCCCGAAGGCATCGTCGGCGGTAAGGGAACACTCGGCAAAGGTTGAGTTGGCCATGATGATTGTGGTATGCATTCGATGATGGCAGAAATGATCACAAATGGTTTTGGAGAGGTCAAAAAAGAGTTGAAACGAGAACGAGGGGATGGGTCAATTTAAGGGAGATTGAGTAGCACCCCGCTGCAAAGTAAGGCGAAGGGGACTTCCCTGAGACAAGTCTGTTTGAGGAAGGTAGATAAGCAGGATGACTAAGTTTCCATTGGCTAGCGGGATTTGTATCAGGAGGTGAAAAGATTAAGCTCAAGGCGCTGAAAAGTTGGATGTAGTAACGAAGCTATTCGCAATGGACCAACAGCATATGCTGCAGTTATGTCTGAACGTGGTCGCCCTCTTTGACCGGGCATGCCAAGAATGCAAAAAGTCAATCCCCGTTTTTCTCTCCATGGTAAATCCACAAAGTGGCGATCTAAGCTTGAATGAGTGCGTCCAGAGTCAAGGGTCAAAACAGAGTTTAGGGCTGGCCAACGTACTGTGTCCGTAGTACCTAGGGACTCGCACTCTGGACCGTCTTCTGGGGCCGCCGGTAATAGACAGAAAGCCTCCACAGGCGGTAAACAACCTCAGAAGCAGGACCCTTCAGGGTCTCGACTGGCTGTGGACGCTCCCAAACTTGCTACCACATCCCTGTCCGTCTCTTGTCTTGTTGTCCTCATCCAAACAGGTTTCCCAGGCGTCATCCGATGGACCACTGGAATCCTCGTGTGATGGTACGTACCCGACCGAATGATGTGGGTCCAAGCCAACGGGTGCCGCCGTCGCGATGACGCAAACTTCCAGGGCAGGTTGGATATGTACTGTTCTCTATCCACAACCCGAACACCAACCACACCCTTTCTCGCATGACTAAAATCCTTGGCCACGTCAGGCCCGACCTAGACTTGCTGTGTTGTTTAACGCCTCAGCAAGCAAGATGGTGTTGCCCTCCCTGTGGGCTCTTGCACTTGGTTGTTGCACACACGTTGCTCTGAGGACGACCCAACTACCGCCCTCCTTGCCCCCTGTGGCCTAATTTAATCATGGCTTTGCCCCCAGTCTAGGCAAGTGACGCCGATGGGCTCCCGGCCTTGTTCCTATCCATCGTCTCCATCACAGCATTCTTTCACGCCCACTCAGGGTCTCCTTGGTTGCATCATTGCCGGTCCGGGGTCTTGGATGATGGCTGGTTCGATGTGATTCACTCATTGCCCCCAGGCTACTAGCTCTACCTCTTTAAGGCCTGGATCCCTTTGCCGCCTTCCAAGTCGTTCAGTCGTGGGTATTTTTGATTTTAAACATCGCATCTCCAAGTGTTACGCAGCACCTACTACACGTCTCTCGACAAATCTCGGGTCCTAGGTTACATACACAAATATCTACCCACGATCCCTTCTCCACCAAACCAACTTTCTTTCGTTCAACCTCAATCAAACGAACTCCCGCCGACAACATGCATTTCACGGTGATAGTACCGTTGGTACTGTCCATAGTGGCATTTGTTCTCTCCTTCCTCGCCCTATTTGCCGGGCACAAGGAGGGATTCATGGAAGACTACGACGTCGTCCGTCTCAACACATCGACCCTGGGCCACAATCTTATTCCCTCTGCAACCAAGGAGGCCGACCCTGCTTCGACGACCGGCAGCTTCCTCGACAAGTTCATCGATGGAGTAGGCGATCGCGTTTCCGACATCCTCAACGACATTGGCAACGATGTTGCAGACCGCCTCGCGGACGAGTTGGGAATTTCCGAGTGGTACTCCCTGCACCTAATGGACGTGTGCCACGGCCAATTTTCGCCCAATGTCACGGCGCCCAACGTCTGGCTCAACGTCACAAACTGCACCCAGCCGTCTCCTGGCCGTTAGTACCTCTCAATAGTACCTTACTGTCTAACGTGACGCTAACATGAAACTAGCGAACGTTAACCTCACCAAGATGCTGGACCAAGAACTCGAAATTGGCCCTCTGAGCCTGAGCCTGTCTGATCTCAACTGGCCCGACACTATCGAGGACGCCATGGATAAGGTCAATAAGGCCCTTCTCGCCATATTTGTCCTCTACGTCCTGGGTATCGGCTTCTCGGGTCTCGCCATCCTCGGGTCCCTGGCTGCCTTCTTCCTCGGCTTCAAGAAGCGTATGACAATCACCAATTTCGCTTTTGCGTTCCTGGCAGTTCTCGTGCTCTTTGCCGGCAGTCTGGTCACGACCATTGGCGCGAAAGAGGGTGCGAAACAAATCACGGACATTGGCGAGGACGTTGGCATCTCGGCCAATGTTGGGCAAAAGTTCATGATCATTTCCTGGGTGGCCTTCGCCGTCATGTTTGCGGCGTCTGTCTACTGGGTTACGCAATTCTGCGCCGAGAGGCGGTCGCGCAGGACGCGTGGCTATACCGAGAAGCGTCATAAGAAGGGCGGCTTCTAGAGTGGAAGCAATTTTTGCAGAGTTGACTCGTGGTCCTCGCCAAAAAAAAAAAATAGGGGCGCCTTCACTTCACTCGAATTGAAGAACCTAGATACGATAGCGTTGCATTTGAAACGATACCTTTGGTCAGGCTTGCCCCGGTAGCTGGCATATCGCAGCAATTCCCGACATCACGATCCTTTTTTTTATTTTTTACTTGCTAGAGATACCATGGTTGCGATTTACAATTATCGGATGCATCATTTCATAGCAGTTTTTCTAGAAGCACATCAGTAAGGATGATGCCAATCAAATGGATTCCATAGTTACTTGAAGCATTCCCGGTCCATCATGGACGAGATTCTGTGGCTGCAAGTGTACCTTCCCTCTCAGTGACTTGACTTGAGTCGTTTCCAGCACCAAGAGCTCGTAAACTACAGAACCTTCCGACTTCAATCACAGTCTCCGATGCATTTGCCCTTGGAGGGACCCGCAACCGGCTCCGGCCGTCACGTAGCCCGGAATGCGGGGTACGTCATTCCTCCCCAAACAGGCAATAACCACCGTACCTGGTCCTTGATCCAACGAACCCAGCCTTCCATTAGTACCCATTAAGTGCCCCACACTTCGACTACACCTCACCTCAAGGGCACTTTGACTCTCAACCTTAACTCTCGTCGCACCGGTGCTTGGAACGCTCTCGCGGCTGTTGCATTATTTCTGTAGCTTTCTGTGTGTCCCCCCTTCATCTCACCTCCGAGTCCCAAAGAGTCTCCCTGTCAGGAGAGAGTTGTCGAGATGCCCTCCCTCCCATTCTCGGACCGCATCTCGTCCGCGGCGAACATGCAGCGCCGCAACGACAACGGCGAAGAGGAGTCCCTCCTCGGACGAGGCCAGCAAAAGGTCCGGCGTTTTTGGGATGGCTTCATCGACTTTGCCCTGCAGGGCAACATCCTCGAGATCGCCTTTGGCTTGATGTAAGCATCTTTCATTTTCATCATAGTTGGTGTGTGCATTAGCAATGAATCAAGGAAGCAAGAGTTAAGCTCTCACATTGGCAACGATTTTTCCGCGGTGCTATGTGAGGTTGTGACCAGCTCATGTGGTCTTTGCTGTTATTGAGAGGTCTGCCTGTTGACACTGTTGACAGCATCGCGGCCGCCTTCACGACCCTCGTCAACAACTTTGTGCAGAATATCATCATGCCGCCCATCTCTGTCATCTTCCCACTGAACCGCAACATGGAAGAAAAGTTTGCAGTCTTACAGGGCGGGCCAAACTACTCCCACGACAATAAATATACGACTCTCGAACGTGCCAAGGATGACGGTGCCGTCGTCCTAGCTTACGGGTAAGTGTAGTTTATTGCTCTGCGCGCCCGTCCCTGTTTGATTTTTTATCGCGTCAACTTTCTGCTTCTTCGTTTTTTTGCTATTGGTCCCGGTATCGGTCTTTGTGGCGTCCGTCTTCATGACCTCTGGGGAACAACCCCAAAGTACGCCAAGCCCGACGGTTCCTGACAAAATAGCATAGCTCGTTCCTGAACCAACTCGTCTCCTTCCTCTGCGTCGGCATCTCGCTCTACGGACTGGCCCACATCTTCCAGTTCTTCTCCCGAGAGCCGATTATTAAGCATACCGTTAAGTGCAAGTACTGCCGCAAGCGGATCAGCAATAAGGTGCGTTTTATCTCATTTCTACGGGCCATAAGCACCCTCCCAAATGAGACGAGAACCCGTTGAAGCTAATCTCTAGAGCATAGGCGCAACGATGCGTCAACTGCACTAGCTGGCAGGACGGCCGTGAGGATCATACTCACCAATAATGGGGTTCTTCTCTTATCTTGTTACATGGATTGTACCGGAACATGTCTTGTCTCGGACTGTTTTGTAGCACATGAAAGGTGGTTCAGCAGGTAGCATCATGAGTGTTGGTGTCCATAAGCATCGTTTCGGCATAGCGGGGTTGGAGTTGACAGAGTTCAGTGTCGCGGGAGTCTTGTTTATTATCACTTAGTATCCAAAGTCAATTCAAAAGTTTAAATTAATGCTCTACCGTTTATCGCATCTGTATGTATCTAGTCAACTTAACTTTGAGGTCGAATTGGCCTTTCTCGCGCTCTGTATTGGTGCCGCGCCGTCACCATCACTCCCTCGAGAGACCTCGCCATCTGACCTTGCTTTCTTCTCTTCTTAAACGCCAGGCATCGTTTCCTCGGGAATGCCCCCATTACGCCTGAAATACTGCTTCTGGGCGCGCGGCGACATGATGTGGCGGAATGTTATCCACGCCGCGCAAAAGATGAGGAGTACGCCGCCCACGCAGGCAATCGCGATACCAGCCTGCATTCCAGGGTCCATGCTGCCCTGTGTTCTGAGGAGGGAGGGAGGAGGGAGGTTGGGGTACCTTTGACTTGCGAGAAGGATTGAAAATTATGGGATTCGGCTGTAGGAGGCGGATCGAAAGTCACTCTGTCATATGCACGAGTGGATGGACTGATTATGCAGACGTTGGGGGAGCAAGACACTTGACCAGTAGTTTGGGAGACGAATCTAGGATGCCAATGTAGGTTTATTTCTACGTTGTTTCCTTTTCTTACAAATACATATTATCGCGACTCATTGCTCATCCTCAAAAACTTTGTTCTAGTAAGACAGCAAACAACGTCTCGGGTTTTTGGCAGCAAGACAGTCAAAAACATAAGTGTTTTTGACTCACACAAGGTCAAAGTGAGAAGGAACACGCTTAGGACGCCGCGTCAGCAAACAAAAAGTCAATGCCGGTGAAGGACGAGAATCAAGCAAGCCACTACCGTCAGAACAGTCAATATGCGTCAAGACAGCCACAAATCATTTGCCTGTTTCTGCCCACCCAAACGCACGATGCTACTCGACACCTCATCCGAAACGACTTTCCAGCCTCCCCCTCCAAGAATCTGGCTTTCCTCATATCTTAGAACATCAGAAGACCAACAACGACAACAGCACCGGCGAGCAGACCATTCTGGCCGCCCCGGGGTGCAGCGACGTTGTGCGTGGACGTCGATGAGGCCTGCGCGTTCGTCGCCGTCGCACCGGAACCGGACCCGGACCCGGTCTGCGCCGAACCTGTAGAGGTCGCCGTCGCCGTCGCAGTCGCAGTCGCGCCGGTCTGAGCTTGCTGCAACTTCTCAAGGCCGGCGGTGACGGTGAGAGGAACGTAGAGACTTGTGCCCGTCAGAGGCGAGATTCTCATTTCAGTGAGCGCGACGGTTTTGCCGCTGCTTGTCGCGACCGCATGGTAATCCAGGTAACCGTCCGAGATGGTACCGATATACTCGATTGATCTAGACACACAGAGGTTTCAGCAATTGCGGTCAAGTGTATTCGCTGGTTTCGGGGCCGGCGGCTGGCTGAGGACGCTGAGTAGCTGGGGGTTAGATCCTTACATTCCGCTGGCAGTACGTTCAATGTGAAGCTCCATGGTCGACGGGCCGCCGACGAGGGTCATGGCGAGACCGGAGGGGTCGGCGCGACATTGGTAATTCGTGCTGTTCGTTTGGCAGCTCACGATGTACGTCGTCGCGGTAGGATTAGCGGCTTTGATGGACGCGTCGTAGGGGTTGTTCCCAAAGTAAGGGTTCAGAACGCTGATTACGGACGTCGTTTGCGCCGTTGCAGTGCCCAACAGGGCGAAAAGTGCCATCGTAAATTGCTTCATCGCGAGTTATGGATCAATCCGTGGAAAAGGGGTAAATAATGATGCTTTCGTGAGTTTCGCGACGAGACATTATTTCCTTGGCTGGCCATCGCAATCATTTCCGGCAGAACTGTGCCGCAGGCCTGCCTACATGACGACGACTGGGCCCAAGAGACCATGGCCATTTGCCGCTTCTGGTCAAGCGTTCGTGTAATCCATCGTGCGTTGGTACGGAGTAGCGTGAAAAAGCAACAAGCCAAACCGTCAGGTTCCTGGCTGCCGTTGGCGAGGAATGTTCCGATTGGATCCCGCACTGACAACGTTGGCCGTCGTTCCGATGAAGAAAAACAACCAATTTCGATACTCGAAGCTATTACATAGTAGAGCAGGTTTTCCGCATCAAAAAAGACGTGAATTGCTTGCCGCGAGCTGATAAAAAGAGAAAACTCCTTGAGAAGCGGTAAAGACAGATTCCAGTGGTTGATCGCTATGGCACGGGAATGGTAGATGTACGGGTTGGAGATGAGTTTATTTTGACGTCTTTCGGTCTGCTACCTCGCGGGCTGCGGGCATGCCGATCCTTGAAACCTCGTTGATTTTGCTGCGTGCTTGGACACAAACGCCACGTTTGCAGGATGCTTCAGGCGGAAGCAGGACGAATCGGACGATTTATCAACATCGAAAGTCCTTGCAGGCTGAGCATGAGGTGATTAGATGGGACGAAAGACCGGACGAGAACATTGAGAGCCGAATTAATGGTCTACCGCCGATGTGCAGAAGGTAGAAGCGTCTACAGCGGTCTGCGGCGGTGGGTAACAACCGTATATTCCGCCCTGCCTAGCATGGATGAGAGAACTGTTTGTTCCGTCGGTGCAGCGAGCGGAAAGAGGGCCCCGAAGATCGCAGTCGGAGGCTCGGAGCCTATCAAACGGCGAATTGAGGGGGAATCGGCTCCCAGATGGACTCCCACATGGGGTCCGAATATCTCGTCGTGCATGTTGAGACTATGTTCAGGTTCCAGTGTATCAGGTAGCCAGGAATCACCTGAGAGAAACGTGCAAGTCTTCGGAGGAGGTTTCCGAGAAACGAAGTGGACACGAAAAAAAGTGCTGACCAAATGGGATGGGTTGAGTGGCGAGAGGGAAGAGGAGTTTGAGCTTTGGAGAGAGAATTTCTGTGTCAGCCGGGTTGTGGGCACAAAGGTCCCGAAGTGATGCCCAGCGTTAAAGATGGGATGGGAAGGTGCGGATGTTTTGCAGTGGTGCGCACACTGGAGACGAAGTTCCCAAAGACCCGAGAGTCGACACAGCCAAAGAAGAGTAGAGCAAGATAGACTTCAGGTACCTTGCGGTGTACGGGGTACCGGTAGTAGACTTGTTGATTAGTGATTACTTCCCAAGTGCCTTACCTAACTAGCGCAGCGGAGCGGGGACGAACGGGCATGACGGGGGCAGCCATCCCCTGCCGGTTCCTACCTGGCTGGCAACGTCCGGCCAGTCAGACGGCCGGTGAGAACTAAGACGACGTCTCCAGTCCGTGCCCACCCAGGTCTTAGTCTTATTATCTTTCAAAATTCGTGGCCTTGGCATTTCTTGGCTTCTTTCCCTTCCATCCTCTCATCGTCTGCCTTTTGTTTCCCTCGCCCAGTTGCGTTTTCCACTCGCCTGTCCTGCGTCCACCACATCCAGCAGCCATCCGTCCTCGGCCATCGGGCGAACCGCGGTGGATGCTACAGTGGCACACCCATTGACACACTCCCTACCTGTCTGGGTATCTCACGCATGGTCTTGCCAGAGTCCCCAAAAGATGGAGGCGCTCAGCTCGCGTTACACCCACTGGCTGCAATGCAGACCTGCTGGGTTGCCTTTCTGGAAGGCCGTTGAAGTCTCAACCTGAGGAAATCGCCGTTGCTGTCGGTACATTCGCGAGGAAGCCAATACCTTCCTTACCTTGAGGTATACCGAGACAAGCACAAGTCACGCTCTTCTCCCGTGGAACTTTGACCCTCTCACACACTCTGCGAGTCTCCAAAGGGCGCGGTTCCTTCTGGTCCCAAAGTCTTGGCTCTCGTCCCATTTTGCCAAAAGAATGCCAATCGCTCACCTACTCTCCCGCCCAGCCTTGGCCGGCAAGCACGGCGCATTGGCAAAAGATGCAAAGTCCGCAATCTCTTTCCGACAAGTCTCTCTGCTCACCTCAAAGTTGAGACGCTCCCCTCTGGTCGCAATACTGCTGCCACGACAGTAAATTACCCTCACCGGGACCCCTCCTCGTTCTCTCGGCCCTGTTCTCAGCTTGCTCTTTTAAGGAAACAGACCCCTCTCCCTGCTTGCTGACAGCTCCGGCTTTGCTGTCTTTGTATGTTATCGCTGCACCCGCGAAACACCCGCTACGACCGTCCCATGCTATAACAAGGGTCACTTCCCACCACCGCATACGACAAATCCACTCTCCGCCCCAAGGAACGGCCGACGGCCTCTCCCCGACCTTTCTTCCACTTGGATTGGGAAATCAACGGCGTGTCACCGAATCCCGATTTGGTCCCCCAGCTTCAACACCCGTCCCGCTAGGCTGGTCCGCTGCAGTGCATTACCTCCTCGCCTTGCCCGTCTCGGTAGCTTTCTGACCCATGAACCGCCTCCGGTGATTAGCTCATTGACGTCAAGCACTACTGCATCTTTCGACCGGCCCGATCTTCGTTCGATCCACGTTCTACGTCGTCACGATGAGATGCCCACAGCCTTTCGTCGCTCTGGTATCATTTTGTTTGCTTTCCTCGAATGCCGTCTTCGCCGATGATACCACCACCGTCCCGATCTACCTGCCGCATTATGACGCGAATAGCTGGTCGCAGCTGCGGGGGAGCGTAATTTCAAGTGTACGAAGACTTCTGAAGCTACTTGAGCTCCCCTTTGTTGTCATTGCTATGGTCTAATAATTGAGTTTGCTGTAGAATGCTAAGGAAACAACGTACACCATTTTCTGCGCGCCACAAACACCGCCCAATTGCGACCTCGCCGTCGAGTTCCCCTTCATCTTCGCCGAGGGCGAGAACACGCTCCAGTTCCACGGCACCAAGACATCAACTCTGTAGGTTACCGGCCCTCTGCGGAATGTACGCTTCTTGCGCAGAAGTGAGACGGCTAACCGCGACGTGGGTGGACAGTATCGCCGACCTGGGCTGCACATTGAGCGGAACGACAGCTGCAACATGTTCAGGGTACTCGAGTCTGAAAAGCGGATACGTCAACGGCAAATTAACGGGACCGACCGAAGTATCGTGGACTTCAACCATAACCGGCTCCGAGGTGGAATGGGGCATTTTGACCTTGGCTGAGGAGCCTGCGGCTACAGCAACCCCAGTGACGACCACGACCGCCGACGATTCGAACTTCGATGACTTCTTATACACGGACAGCCTCTCCCCCTCGTTACCAGCCGAAACCAATCCAAGCGCTGCCCCTCATTTTGACATCGGCTGGGCTCTCATAGCCTCATTATGCAGCATGGCCGTTGCCGCTTTGGTGGTGTAATCGGCGATGTCTCTACACGCGCAAAATTCCCTTCCCAGCGCATACCGCACCCATTACAGCTATCACGATTGATTTGCTGCTCGAAATTTGGGGGGAAAGACGAAAGAAAAAGCGGCATAGTCATGGAAAGGAAGCATATGAAGCAAACCAAAATACGAACGTGGATCTTGGGACAGCGGAGGAAAAAAAGGTGATATGACGTTGGAGTTTTACCCTCGTGTCATCGCAAGAGGGGGACAAGTGGTGGAACGTTGCCGAGGCCAGTTGTTCCCCCCTTCCCCCCACAGAGCTTTGCTATTTCTCGCAATTTGCTCCCTTTTGGAGTTATACCCCGTCTCGGCGTTGTACTATTTACGATCAAGGGCTCAACGGCAAATACAAACATGAACCGGAGGTGAAGGAACGACTTCTCGTCCCATTATTTTGTGTGCAAGCGTCTCGCTACAACTCCCTGTCATTCGTCCGACCGAGAATACGTCTATACGCCTCTCTCGTCGTTTCAAACGGATAAATGCTTCTGGCAGTCACACGTGAGACAAGGCATCCGCCAAATTGATCGGCAGTCCTGCATTACGCTCCGCGCATGACGATTTTCGCGTGGAACGCGGATATTGTTCCACTCGCACCCTGAGACGGCCGTCGATTCTCAACAAAGCAGCAAGTCGACCCGCATAATGTGGTATATTTGATTCATGAGCATGAGAAACTATGAAGGGGTATGGTTCTTCATGTGAAGCAATGCTGCCATTTTCCAAACGCCCGGAACGCCCTTTTCCCACTTGATTTACACAAAATAGAACTGCCAAAACAGCAACATGGCGCCAAGAGTGTCTGTGTATGTACATTTGAGAAAGATGTTCTCTGCGCCACTATGCTTTGGAACAGTGATGGGGGGCGTGTCCCCCGTTGAGGTGCTCGTTGAGTTGTCGACAGAGTTTGTGAGGCTGGCACGATGCCTGTCAGCGTCGTTTTCTCCCCCGCTGGTTGATTGTTGGCCATTGTGTCGGGTAAAATGCAGGAGAACGCAAGGGTTCGACGGACGGGTTTGCCACAAAACCTACTGACTAACGACGAGACCCTGGATGATCTCGAGTGCGCTCATGGTCTGGCCGAGGCCGTAGCTGCCGTCGTCGCCGTCGAGGTACCACCTTTGCCCGCATATCACGTTGCTCGCCGTGGCCTCGCATACTCTGGCCGCGGCGAGCGCGCTCGGGACCAGGATCTCCTTGACCTCGGGCAGGAGCTCCGGCATGACGGTAGCCGACTGCCAGAGGAAGCGGGAGAGGTACCCTTTGAAGCTCTTCATGTCCGTGTTGCATGTGCCGACCGGCTCGCACGCGGGCTCGTACATGATGTTGGTACTGTTCTCGGCGGGCGAGAAGAAGCTTTTGCGCGCCGTGGCGAGCATTTTGGTCGCGCGGTCCCGCCAGAGGGCGTCGCCCGTGTGGTTTGCCATGACGGCGGCGCCGTATAGGTAGATGCCCGTGGAGTAGGTGAAGGAGAGGTGATTCGTCTTTGTGCAGTTGTCGCGGGAGTCGGCGCCGTCGTAGACTTTGAGGTCGGCGTCGAGGAATCCCACGGCGGCGGACCAGTCCCAGACGTAGGTGGCCCAATCGGCGTAGCGCGAGTCGTTGGTCGCGGCGGCGAGCCGGGCGGCGAGCTGGAAGAAGCCCCCGTTGCTGACGCTGTTTTTGTAGTTTAGGCCGTTGGGGTTGTTCTCGTAGATTTGCCAGAGAAGCCCGCCGCCGCAGTGCGTTGAGTTCCAACGCCCCGCGAGCGAATTGAAGATGTTGCGGCCCATTTGGAGCCAGGGGGGCGCGCCGGTGGAGGCGGCGGGGTCCGGGAAGCCGCGCTCGGCGGCGGACATTACGACGAAGCCCCAGAAGCCGAGGTCATCATTTCCTTCTTCGAGCTCGTGCTCGGGCGGCATGAAATCGTGGTTGGGGCCTGTGTTGACCTTGGCTGTGAGGGCTTGGGTGAGGACGTCGTTGTAGGTTGGGTCACCGGTGTAGTGGAAGTAGTCCATCATGATGCCCCAGAGTGCGCCGGCTTGCCACCAGTAGTATGGGTCCGGGAGGTCGCCGACCATCTATAGAGGAGGTGTTTTGTCAGCCGTTGTGCTGGCATGGAAGCTGTCCCCTCGTGTGAAGACCTGTACTGTCCCCGTGCTGGGGATTTAGTTTGTCATACCTTGGGATCACTGGAGACATTGCCGCTGTAGTAAGACATGGCACCGAAAGCGAGACTGCCAGCAATGGCCTTGACGGAATCTTCGGCTCTGTTAGCAAAACTTTGAGCTTGTACACGGATGCGACGTTGACAACAACCTGCGTTACTTGAATCGAGTGTCTTGGGCGATGTAAAGGCAGAGACCGCCGTGATAACCACGGAGGCGAAGAGGGCTGTCTTCACGAGGACCATGATGATACGAGGAACTCTCTGCCAACTTGCGCGGGGTAGGTAAATGTTACCGTTCTGTTAAGAGGGTGATATTTCGATGAGTCGGCGTGTTTATCCGCCGCCCTTTCACAAAAGAGTGTCTCGAATACACAAACAGATACTGCTGTGTTAAAGAAGGACAAAGTGTGAGAGAAACAGTATCCCCCCAAAAGAGTGACGGTTTAGTAAGAAAGGTGAGAAACAAGCAGCGCAGCAACGAAACACCGTTCACCAGAAGCGAGAGAAGTTTGAGACGCGAAAGTAGCGAGACGTCGAATAATAAACAGGAAAAAAAAAATCTCCGATCTAAATACAGGGCAGCCGAGGCGTTCCTATTAATGAGTAAGGAACGTCGCAACCAAGGGGGGTTCGGTCCCGGCGCGCGGTTCGTGAGGTGGCACGGATAGAGAGGGTCGAAGGGTGACTTAGAGGAATAGACGGCAGCTCCGGCCAATGGACTCGCTGACTCTTGTTCGATTTAGCCCACCTCGTCCCATGTTCTTCTCTTTTAGACTTCTTGACAGCTGCTCGGGAGTCACAAGGCCTCGCTGCTTGGTTCGGACAGGCGCAAGGGGGAAAAAGTCTCCTTGCCCACGTAATCCCGCCGTTCCCCTGACCCTAGGTTGGTCCTTTGGGGCGGTTATGTGGACAGGGGGTTTGACTGGGCATTACCCCCATGTTTTGAGAAGCGCGGCGGCTTTGGTCAGGCACATACACGTTGCTGGATGCTGCCACTAGGCTGAAGAGCTGAGGGAGGGGGTGTTTGACTGGTCGTTGAGGGGGCCCAAGGCAGATCCAAGTTCAAAAAGGGGAAGTTTGACGGGACCAGAGCCGCCGAAAAGGGGGAGGGGGAGCAGATACGGGAGAGCGGGAGAGCGGGGTGTGGGCGGTTGTGTGGTTCTCAATGCAAGCTTACGGATACAGTGAACAAACTTGCATGAAGAGTATTTTGAAATGTGATTTGACGACCATGTTGTACCGGGATAACCCCATGCCGTGGCCCCTGGCAGATCAAAAGAGGGAAGACTGCGGGAGTTGCTGTTCAGTGTTCTCTGGTTCAGACCCGTCAAAGGCCAGCATCACCAGGTAAAGATGTCGGCGATTGGGTCGGTGATTGGGCGCTTGTTTTGAGGGGATGATCTACTTGAGAGCCGCTAGCTCGGGTTACCGTTACCTACAGCTCGACACATGAAACAGCGACGGCACCCAGTTTTGGCCTTTGCCTAATGGAGAAGGGCGGGGTGGCTGCGGTCGTTGCCAACCCATCGGCATCCATGATTTCTGAAATGATTAAAGGAACGGGGGTTTGTTAGTTTGGGAGGCGCCGTGCCGATTGCCGGGTCTCACCAACGACGTGGAAGGAGTGATGGATTGGTCCTCGACGGCGCTTTTACTGGCAGGTCTTTTTTCGAAACCAACATGATCGATTGAGGGAAAGGCAAGGTAAATTGGCTCCAGCGAAGGCCCAATTTAATCAGCATCAAAGACAACGTTGTCCCACTTCTTATCGACGACAGTGTTCGACATACTTGTGACTCAAATAATATCCAATTCGGACCTGTTCTATATCAAGGTACTCGGTCAGTGTTTCGACTCAGTGTTTCGATACCGGGTTGACGTCCATCTTGGCCTACCATCCTACACGCCGTCACTGGATTAATCTAACTTCACCAATTCAGTTCATTCCATCTCCGTCACAGAGGTATCACCTGGAAACCAAGAAAAGTACGTAGATAGAGGATATTTCTCTTCTTGAGGCGTATTTAATGAGGTCACGTAATGAGGTGGAGCCTCGGATGCTTGAAGCCATCACGACAATCTCACAGTCGTGCCTCGAGACCTGAACACTGTACGTAGTAGGAAAGTGTCATTTGTGAGGCTTGAAATGTAAGCTCATATTCTGGAGAGTTCTGTCGCGTTGAAGAAGACTATGCAATTCGGAAACGAAAAATAGGAATGAAAAAGAAAAGAACAGCGGCCCAGCCGATGGTCGATTGTCGGAGACTTGATGTAGTACGAGAGCTTTATCGGCTAGCTAAGCCTCCAGGACTTTTAGTATCACTCACACCAGTCCCGGTGATGTTAATTGAATTTTTTAAAACGGTTGACTTCACATAAAAGCCATAAGAACGAACAGTCAGTCAATTTCCAGTCCCTTTTAATAAAAAACCCCAAAACAGAACGGACCAGCCGAGGTTCGAATGCAGGAGTCCTGAAAGGTACCAGAGCTTCATGGACCAGTTAGAACTTCACGGCCTTCGAACCCCTCGGCCAACAGACCCGGTGTTTCTGTTAGGATAGGAATACAATTCGTCCTCTATATCTCTTCCAGGCTGTTGCCCAAGGTTATAATTTGATGCCGTTCCGGCAGGTGCAGAATTTCAAGTGTCAGTTTCAGGACCGGCAAATTTCCGGTGCCTTCCAGATTGGTCTAACAGTTTCTTTGACAAGCCTAAATACATTCTGAATAACATCAAACCTGCTCTGGTAGGGCACAGAGGAGATATGAATGCTTCCACACACCCCGCTGTGAACTAATTTAGATTTCTTTCACTCGCATCTGACATTTCACGCGCACTAAAAGACTGAGCTGAGGAGAGCCCGAGAATTTTGGGGATTCATATGCCGTATGGTGTTCTCTATAACCTGTAGCAAATTCGATCTTCTCCAGAATCATTGCAGAATACGGTAATAAACCACAGGGCAGGCATTTGGCTGGGTATACATGCATCCGGGTAACGCGACAATAATCTCTGCTTAATCATATCAAGCAACCCAGCTCCGAGAGCAAATACCTTTTAACCTGAAAAGGGGGAACTTTACGCCGTCAGGGGTGCCGATTCGGTAGGTGGTTTCCTTGTAGGTAGATGGAAATCAAAGTGACTCGATACAAGCTTTATGAGCGACCCGTCAATCCTTCACGTGAATCACATCAACTGATGGTGTGTATGCTTGATCATCAAAACAGGCGTATTGGACTAAGAAGCAACTTACACGCGCAAATATAATGTCCCATTGCTCAACCCATACCCCAACATCGCAATGTCCGGAATCATCCAACCCATCATCCACATCAACGATTACTCGGGCACGGGGAAGCTGACAATCGCCCGAGCCTTGGAACAAAAGCTCGCGCCGAGAGGCCAACTTTCTGCTCATTGAACCGGCCGACGCCGTGCTGAGACGCACCGAGCCCTGCTACCAAGATCTCCGCAAGGCCAAACGCGGCACCGTATTCGCGGCCCTCGCAGAGTGTCCGTCGACGCGCGATTTCATCTATACTTTCATCGACTTCCAGTCGAGCGATGCTGTGGGTTCTGCGACGTGTGCCCAGTTTCTCGGAGCGGCGCACGCTCGTGGTTGCGCGCTCATCTCTGTGATGCTGGAGTGTGATAAGAGCGTCAGCTTGGAGAGGTTGACCAGCGCCGAGCGACAATCGCACTGCAAGATCGTCGATCCCGGAATCCTGATTGCCTTCTGGGCAGGGGACCACGATCCATCGTTTTGCAGCAAGTGACTCGGTCTTTGTCCTGGACCTCAATGCCTCGCAAAGGGCCCTGGAACAAGCAGCCGAGGAGATCCTCAATCATGATCTACGCACACAAAAGTAGGCACCGACTCTAGAACATTGGATAGTCTTGTGCCAGTTACAAACTTCAAATCGTTTCGACCATAAGTACCTGATCATTATGTCTGTATGATTTTACACCAACCCATGTCCTGACCGAATACGTTCAATGCCACAAAACTTTTTTAGCGTCTTCTATCATCTATCAATGCCTCGTTATCGAACCGTCATCTATGCAACCACCCTGTTCGCCGCCGTCTCCTTCGTCTCCTCGTTCGGCTGCCGTCCAGTACCGCGGACCTCGGCCAGAACCTTTGCAATGGAAGCAAGGAACCTCGTGACCTCGTCCTCGGTGCCAATCGTGATCCTCAAACACCCCAGACAGCCATGCTCCTTGCCGCGGAACCGGACGACGACGCCCTTGTTCTCCGCGAGGCGCTCGTACGCGGCCAGCGCTGTGACGTTGTCCGGCTGTCCCGCCGCGTCCAGCATCTCGTACAGCAAGAAATTGCTCTCCGTGCCGCCCCGCAACCTGCCGACGCCGGGGATCTTGGGCAGCTCGGCGATGATGCGGTCCCGCTGCGTCAGAATCTTGGCGCGGTTCGCCCTCATGACCGCCAACCCCTTTTCGGACACGGCGTATTGCGCGAGCGCGCTGGTCGGGGTGGAGATATTGTACGGCGCCTTCATGGCGTTGAGGAGGCGGGCGATGGACGGCGAGGTGAAAGCCGCACCCAGGCGGATGCCGGCCATGCCAAACGCCTTGGACAGGGTCTGCATCACGACGAGGTTGGGCCACTCGAGCACCCACTCCGCCATCGAGCTCCCCTCGGGCGCGAAGTCGATGTAGGCCTCGTCAAGGATGACGACGCCGTTCCAAGTAGGGTGCTCCAGGACCCGCTGGACGTCCTCCTTGGCCAGGACGGAGCCGGTCGGGTTACCCGGCGTGCAGAGGTACACGAGCTTGATGTTGTTCCCCTCCGTGTTCAACTTCTCCAGGATGGCGTCGGTATCCATGCCGAATTCCGGCGCGGGCTTCAGCGGCACCTTGACGATGCTGACGTCGTTGATCTGCGCCGAGACGGAGTACATGCCGTAGGTGGGCGGGCATGTCAGGATGCGGTCCTTTCCCGGCACGCAGAAGCACCGCAGCAGGGCGTCAATGGCCTCGTCGCTGCCGACGCCGACGAAGAGGTTTTCGGGCTTGAGGTCCCTCGCCGTGTGAGTGTGGGTGTTGCGCAGGCGGCAGAGGAGCTGCTTAAGCTCCGGCTGGTGAGGGTCCGGGTACCGGTTCAGGCCCTGGAAGTCGATGCCCAGGTTTCCGGCCTCGAAGTCGGGTTGCAGCGACGGCCCGTAGGCGTTCTCGTTGGCGTCGAGGAGGACGTTTGTTCCGTCATCCTTGTAGTCGCTGGAGAAGATGTTAGAGCGTTGCTCATGCGAGTTGTGAGCGAGTTCTGTTGAGCGCGAACTTACTCTCTTGCGCAGCGATAAGGCTCGAGGGCCAGAATATTCGGGCGCGCACATGTTTCGAGGTTGAAAGGTGACATTCTGACTTGGATTGCTGGAAGTATGTTTGATGAGATGCTGTCAGTATAGCGAAGTAGACTGAATCCTTATATCACCAATCTCTCATCTTAGAACAATCGTCGACGTCGATTTGAGTCAACTCTCGGCCACTATAAAATGGATCCCGACAGCCAGGCCCGCCGACCCCGGAGCCATATGTCGGCACCTGCCCGGACCTAAGCGGGTCAGGTAAATCGGCAATTGGTCAATCAAAATGAGCTTTGTTGGCTCTGGCGTCCATCCGAAAAACTTGATATGTCAGGATACACACAGGGTTCTCTGCATATCGGGATACATGTGTGCGGTAAACCTGTTAAAATCCTGATCGTCATGTGTTTTCATCTCGGCTCAAATTAGGCATTCCGAAGCCGTGGAGCTCGGCGTCGGCTCAGTTTCAATATGAATTTGAGGAGACCGTTGAACCCGCAGTGATGAAGCCAACCCATGATTTCAAGCCGTCAGAATATTCGCTAACCATTCCAACGTGAGAAATGGATCGCCATGCTGTGGTTTTAAGCTTTCCACAGAACATCATTCTTGATCTTAAGCTCAAGCTGAATGCATAAAGAGTAAGCACTTAGATTCCCCGTCTCCCACAAACGTACAATTGGAGGTAGATGTGCCGTCCGCGTGTCATCGGAAGGTCGCCCTCATGCATGCTGCTAGACCGGTTTAAAAGCTTATTCTGATTTCCAAGTCAGATTCAGTCTCATCTTCTCGGTATCTGACACTTTCAAAGTATATGGACAGTTGAACCCCAATCTTCTTAGCTGATTCACCTTTCCAGGCCAAAAAATTATTGACATCAAAGCATGTCGCAACATATTATTACTTGCCAATCCAGACTCATACCCCGCTGCTGGCCCGGGGTCGCGGACCAACTGCCAACTGTCATCGTCTGAATTCAGGCTGAATATAACCACGCCAACAGCACCTTCTTAGGCACGCAACAAGGACCGATTTCCAGCCAGCTGTTCTGCGATCACGGCAAGATCGGATGCGAGTAGACACCGACTAGGTACCCCGCACAAGTTTGATTCCTCCCTATGCAGGACGAATCAACGACTCCTCAACTCTTTGGAGCAAAGGGTCCTAACGTCGTCCCTCGCCTGCCGGCCATAGCTCGCGCGCCGGAGGATGGACCGATGTGACGACGACTATGGAGCTCAACAACTTCTTCCCCAACTTACCCCTCGTCCATGATCGTGATGGCCCTGGTCAAGATCTGGGGAAATTACAGAAAGCTGGGTTCTTTTCTACCGAACTCCGCACGACACGGTTCGTCACCGCTTTTCCGCTCTACACGGGGGAGAGGGGAAAGCTTCGGGATGAGCGGTACTATCTACGATCCAACCCATTTAGTAGGCGGCCATTCCCCGTCCGTCTCTGAATCGGTCGAGCTCCCCCCGCCTCTCCGATTCTAGTCTCCCGGATGAAAGGGCCAATTGCCCGTCATGACGCAAAAATACGAGGCTATGGGGAACAAATATATGAAGGTCAACACCCGGATGACGAAGTTACGTATCTGGCGATGGTCTTCCTCCTGGTCTTTTACCCTTCCTGGCGTTTCCAAAGTGTTTGTCCGGTGACTAATTGCATCCATCGTGTGTAATACTGTTGCAATGCTTTCCCTCGTCGTCGCAGCACTGGCCTCTGTGGCTGCGGCCTCCCAATGCGGTCTCAGGAAGTTTGAGAATTTGGTGGCATTCGGCGACAGTTACACCGACGAAAGCCGGCTCTCATACTTTACCAACCACAACGGCACTGCTCCCCCAGCTGGCACTCTGCTGCCGCCGAGCAACTCGACCGCGAGCGGTGGTTATGCATGGGGTCGGATCGCCGCCAACTTAACGGGAGCAAAGTACTATGGCTACGCTGTCAGCGGCGCTACCTGCTCCAACAAGATCATATCGCGAGACTATGCAGCCATCAGGCAACCTTTCCCTTCGGTCCTCGACTACGAGATCCCGGCTTACAAGGCCGACACGGCGTTTAAGACCCTTTTCCGGAATAGAGAGGCGGATAACACCGTCTACGCACTATGGATCGGCACAAATGACCTGGGATACGGAGCTTTCCTCAGCGACACCAACGCCGCCGGGACGACGATATCCACCTACGTGGACTGCATCTGGGCGGTGTTTGACAACATCTACGAAACGGGCGGGCGCCACTTTGTCCTCCTAAACGTTGCGCCGCTGGAGCAGTCGCCGCTCTACGCCGCGACGGGTTCGGGGGGGTTCGGGGACAGTCAGTTCTGGACCAACAAGACGGCGTACAACACGACGGAGACGCAGTTCAAGATGCTCGAGTACAGCACGAGCGTCAACACCATGTTCGACTACGGCGCGCCCTTCCACCTGCTCGTCAAGAAGCGCTGGCCCGGCGCCACGTTTTCCCTCTTTGACGTCCACACATTGCTGCGGGACATTCACGCCGAACCCGCAAAGTACCTGTCCTCGCCCGCGAACGTGACGGCGCCGTACCGGACCTGTGATCCGGTGACGAGAGATTGCGTTGACTCGTCGGAGCCCAAGTCGAGCTTTTTGTGGTACGATGAGTTGCATCCTTCCGAACGCGCAGGTAAGTATAGATTGCTAGAGGGCTCACTCTTTTGTGGACGGTTGGCTAACGAGGAGCGATATTGAAAGATGAGATTATAGCTCGAAATTTCATCGACGTGGTGTACGGCAACTCGACGTACGGCACTACGTATACGTCGTGAGCACATCGTATCTGGTCAACTAGTTGGGTGGCTCATCCTTCAGGAAACCTATGGGTTGTAATAATCTTTGAGGCCAGATCATTGGATCATAGAATGATGGATTTAGTATGCGTGTCGTAAGAGAACAAAAGTCGGCGTGTAATGGTAGGCAATACAAGGAAGTCGAGAACTTGGCAGAGAAACAAACAATAGCAAGCCCCATCCCTACTGGTCCTTGACCTGGTCTCAGGGCGTCAATGTAGCTTTCGCTATACCTTGCGAGGTGCTTCATCAAGCGGCTAGCTTGAATGCCCTTTCTTTCTTTCTATCCGTACATCCACAGGTATTCATTGCAGCTCGCCTCTGCTCGCCTCTGCACTCACTTTTCACTCATGGCGGCCCAAGCAGGCCCTTCAGTTGAATGCCATCTAATAGTACCTAAGCAAGTGCCAAGACAAGAACAAACGCAGTCTGTTCCTGAGAGAGCTCGAGCGCAAGACGGGGAGGGGAGACATGACCCCTGCTGGCTGCAGGCACACCCCTGTTGAAGCGGATGGGGATCTCGGAGAGTGTTGCTGGCGTGCTGCATGGGCGCAGTCCAGGGGAAAAAAAAAAAAAAAGAAAAAAAAAAAAAAAAAGAGGGCGCCGCCCGCCCGGCCCCCCCGCACGCGACAGCAAGAGAGGGCGGGGGGGGCGGGGGGGGGGGGCGGGGGGGGGGGGGGGGCTGCAGGGGCGAGGTAAAGGGAAAAAAAAAAAAAAAAAAAAAAAAAAAAAAAAAAGAGGCAGCTTCGCGGCTTCGCCTCGGCTCTTGCAATGGAACTCCTCCACCGCTGATGCCTTGCGGTACGTACCTTGATCCCTTCCAATTCCCAAGCACCGCAGCACCCCAAGTTCCCAGGTTGTTAGCCTCGGAGGACATTGCGCGCCCAAATTGCAACAGCCAAACAGGTTTCCACAGACCCCAGCGCGTGGCCCCCCTCCCCCTTCCCAGAATGCCCAGAATGCCCCGCCGTCTCTCAAGCTCCCCAAGGGCCCATGTTGGAAAGCAACGCAGAAAAATTCTGTTTCTGCCTTTCCACGTCCCTCTTGCCTACGAATGCCTGGTTGACACCTCACACACCACGACACACCGACGCCCCGATATCTCGCTCCCTCACACACGCGGCTCCCTCATTTCTCACACACCCAGATAATCGCTGGACCGCAACTGGACTGGAACTCTGAACAAGGTACCGCCGCCACACCCGTCCCCCTCACCGCACACCGCACACCGCACACACCAACATCGTGCCGTGCCGTCCTACGCCTGGCCTCTCTCTCCGCTTGATGCTCCACGCCCACCGTCACTCACACCACGGCCGCATCTGACATCCTCTACTGTCCTGTTTCCTCGTGTCAAACGTACGCAAAAGGTTGCTTTGCGTCCTGTCCCTTCGCTTCCTACCGCACCCTTCCGTGCCGTCTTGAACACCAGCCACCCACCCTACTGCTCCGCCCATCTTTCTACCTTGCTTTCTAAAGGTACCGCGAGGGACCTTGCCTACCTTATCCAACTCGGCGTCGTTCCTGAATCAAGCGGCAGCCCGGCGCGAGACCGCCACCCTCATTGCTCTCTGCTTGCTTTAGTCTTGTCTCACCGGCCCGTGTGGCACTCGCTGGCCCGTGGACGCTCCTCTATCAAAGAGTACGGATACCAGATCGGACATCATCAATACTCGAGCAATCACGCATTCCGCAATCCCTTCCCGCCTCATCTTTCACCGGCAACCTTTCATCTGGCGCCCCATCCCACCACGTCATCTCCCATCTACTAGTCCCCCGTCCTCTCTTACCGTACCCATCTCAGTCACATTGATCCCCTGGTTTCTACTTCTCACACCCCCGTGTGCTCTGCTCCCCTCTCTTACATACGCAGAGGTATAGGACAGTGGACGAGTACGGACGAGAACGAGACAAACGGGGCCGGCCTCATCCCAGGCACGCCTTACCAACCAGCCAGGCCACCGTGAGAGCAGAGAAGGGACTGCTGGATTCGTACGGATACCGTATGCATGGTCGTACCTTAATACGAAATACATCCCTCGCCGGTCAGCCGAATCAACCCTCTCACTAGGCCAAGAGTCTAGCTGTCAGTCACAGTCTACCTTATCTGAGAGACAGCCCAGCCCATTGATGGTTGTACCCCTGTCCCCCACCGCCCATCACGCACAGCAGCAAACGAGCCAGTCGTCCCGCCAGCCTAGCAAACCTGCGGCCCGGACAGGCCAGGACCACCTCGCCTTACTCCACGCACTCCCCGCCGCCCGCCGTCTTCTCTTGTTGCGGTCGACTCGACGAAACGTTGCCCGCTGCGGCCGCGCCTTTCTCTCACCTCCTCCGCCCAGCTTAGGCCAGCCAAGCACAGCCCAGCGAGACAATCAGCCAGCCAGTCCGTGTCTGACAGAGTCTCAAACCCGAGTCTATTGCTACAGTACGGAAACCTTACACACTCTTCTCGACTAGGCCACTTGGGACCCCCCGTTCGACCTGTTCCCTGGGCCCGTCGCGTCAGGCCCCGTCCCCCAAAACCATAATAATAATAATAGCTCCGCGCCCATCCTATCCCATCCCGTCCCAGCCATGTACGCTCCCGGCTACGGCTTCTCCAATGTCCCTCCGAACTTCAACACCGGCGCCCCACCTCCAAACCAGAACCCTCACATGCAGCCAGGCTCTGTCCCAACCCAGCCGGGCCAGCAGATGATGTACAACCCTAATCAATTCGCTGGTATGCCCGGAGGCCAGCCCGGCTTCGTCGGCGGTCCCAATCCCGCCATGATGTCGGGCGCTGGCCCTGCAGGCATGATGCAGAACGCCGGCATGCCACACATGGCTGCCAATGGTCAAAGTGAGCTGCCCCCTTCCTTGCCTGTCTCTCCCCGTGTGTGCCCACGTCTGTCATCGACCAGAGTCTCGTACCTGCGTCGCGCCCTCTGACGCTGCCTGTGGCAGCATGTGTTTCTCATCGATGATCGAGACAAAGATCGTGGTGCGACGAGAGAGCGGTTGTCTTGCAGTCACTCTGTCTTCATCGTCATCGCCGTCATCCACACGCGCCCGCCAAACCACACGGCACGGCAGCATCTTTCAGCACCTAACAACGGGAACACGCGTTTTCTAACATCATTGTCTCTACCAGTGGCCTTCCAAAACCCCTACCAGGGCAATCCTTACGGCGGCAACATGCCCGCGCCGGGCGGCCAACATCCCAACTTTGGAGGAATGCAAGGCTTCCCGATGAACGCGGCGGCCATGACACCTCAACAACAGCAGCAGATGATGATGCAGCAGCGCATGCAAGCGCAGCAGGCACATCAGCAGCAGCAGCAGCAGCAGCAGCAGCAGCAGCAGCAAGGAGGGGGACAAGGGAATCATGGAAACCAAGGCGGCATGCCGTTGGGCTCGACACCGCAAAGGCCGATGAGCGCGGCGCCAGGTGGACAAGGCTCTCCGAACAACGCGATGCAGCAGCAGCAGCAACATCAACAGCAACACCAGCAGCATCAACAGCACCAACCTCAACATCCTCAAACCCCTCAACACCAGCAGCAGAGCCAGCAACATCAACAACAGCATCACCAGCAACAGCAGGGTCAGCAACAGCAGCCGTCGCAGCCGCAAAGCCAGCAGCAACAACACCAGCCACAACAATCCCAACATCAACAGCAGCACGCCCAGCAACAGCACGCCCAGCAGCAGCACGCCCAGCAGCAGCACGCCCAGCAGCAGCAAGCCCAGCAGCATCAACAAAACCACCAGCAGCAACAACATGCGCAACAGCAACAGCATCAGCAGCAGCAGTTTCCGACATCGCAACCCCAACCACATGGCCAGACTCCTGCGACCTCGGCGCACCAGCACTCGGCTTCCGTTGCGTCCGTAACGACCCCGCAAACCCCGACATTTCCTCAACACAACCAAAGCGCGACTGCCAACGGCACCTCGTCCGTGTCAACGCCACTTAGTCCCGGTAGCGAGTCGCGGGAACAGGAGAGATTTTCACTACTGTTAGAGATCAACCAAGAGCTATTGTTCGAGTCGATGCAGTTGCAACATACTCTGAGCGAGTTGAAGAAAGAGGCGCAACCTTCAGGTGACGGAGATCAGGCGAGGAAACCGACCCAAGAAGAGGGGTCGGTCCAGCAGGACTACAGCCAGTGAGTGACCAAGGCAAATAGATCGTGGAACACTGAGAACAGAAAACTGACTTCTTGCTCCACAGTTGTATGCGACGCCTCCAAGCGAACCTTGCATATCTAGCCGCGTTGGCCGATCGGAAGGGCAATGTGCAAGTCCCTCCGTCGCCCGCCTACCTTTCCTCCCCGCCGCTGAATATGACACTCAAGATCCGGAATTCAACACCGCCCGGCGACATTCCCGAAAACAACCCCGACCCGATGACAGACCGCGAGGAACGGTCCAAATACCTGTCTGAACTGTACAGAAAGCTTCAGGCGCTGTTTCCGAATGCGGACCCGAAGAAGGAACCGCCTTTCCAGGCCGCGGGCCGTCCTCAGGGTCAACCGGGGCAGCAGGGACAAGGTCAACGGCCGCCGAGCCATCACGCGAGCCCCGCCATGGCTCAAGCTCAACGGCCCATGCAAATGCAGAACATGCCCGGAGCACACCAACCGCAGGGCATGTCTCTGTCCTAAAGAAGGCGCGGTGAAGCTTACATGATTGGGCCTCGGCGAATGGAAAATTAACTTGGCGGCGTTCGGGGACCCCAGGATGATGTATTAAAAGAAAAAAGTCACAGGTTTGGCGCGGGTGGCGAACTTTCCACAGGCGCACGTTCGAAGTTGGAGAGTCGTAGCTGGAAATTTCCGCTCTCAGCTTCTTGAGAGCTTGGAGCTGTACTAGGTGCACTTGCGCGGCGTTTGGTGGATTTAGAAGAGGCCGTCAGCCAAGTTTGCATAGACCGTATCATTGGAGCCGACGGAGTTGCGGCAAGTTGTGTTATATATATGTCGACAGGGGCGCATTGGCTCGAAAGAGCTCGAAAGAGGTGGATGAGACGAATTAAAGATTGGATAAATCAAAGGCAACCGTTGGGTCTTTCGTCAATTGTAATTGTTATGTGCTTGTTGAATCCTCGCACTCCCAGGGCCGGACATGTTTGGATTCGGGCCGGTGACAACCGACACCAAGACAGCTTCATCTACGGCCGTGCCATGCCATGCCGTTCCCGTGGCCTCGCAGGCATTGGATGATTCAATTACGGTGGAATTCAATGGACAACACCCTATGTGAGCGACAGAGGTCAAACCTTGATCGATATCAAAGACCCGTCGAGATACGCACCGCAACGAAGGATCTCAGCGATCTTGCCTACAATATCCTATTTGGGAAGTATACGTGTACGTAGATACTTGGTGACTGGTATTTTCCCTTGGAACAGGCCTGTCAAATTGGATCATGTATCCGTCCAGAGTTGCGCTTTGGCTCGGGTGCGACGTGCTCTCGGCCCCACGCCGCAAGGACGAGTGGCGTAGGGAGACTCATCTCCCGGCGGCAGGTTTTTTGATTCATCTCTGTCCTGATCCCGAATGGATGGCAAAGACGTCTGTGGGATCCAAGGCCGCGAGCAAGTTCACCTGTCTATCCTCATGCAGGTTTCTGGACTTGGGACGGAACCGTGAGGACCAGATTTGAGTGTCTGAGTGTATTCGTAGCCAAGCACACTGCGGTACGGAAAGATATCCAACAGGTCAAACAAGTTTTGCTGTGAAGCCAAGGTCCTTTGGCCCCCCCCTCCTCGTTGGGCTGGGCGTTGTGGATGCGGTTGGGTACTCGGTAATACCCGGCAAATGGCAGCAGGATCGAGGGGAGGAGAAAAGGCAAATCACGAAATGGTGGAATTCCGAATCGCACAGAATGGCGTTGGGTGGTCGGACGGGGACTTGAGTCTAAGTGACCCGCCGCGTGGAAGCTTGTTCGGTGCAGGTCTGCCGGAGCTGGGGGGACAGAGCGGGCCATGATTGGACTGTTCGTGGGCGCTAGCGGTCCTGTACCTTGCAGAAAGCGGCTACTTTTCTCGCGTGCCTTCTGCTGCTAATTTCGTCCGAGCTTTTCAAGATGATTCGCTGTGGTTTTGATCTTCCTTGGTCTGGCCAACCACGATTAGGTACCTAAGGTGGTAGTCATTCGCGGTTCATTTCGTTGGGCTGATGGTGCTGACGGTGCTGTTGATCTATTGACCGTTGATGCGAGAAATAGGGGGTTTTGGGACATGAACTGCGTACAAACGATGTGTTCATGGACGGGTCCAAGACGCAAGACGCAAGACGCAAGACGCGAGACAGAGACCTTGTTCGAAGGCCTTGGTGAGTGATGTAAACATTCCCAGAAAGAGGGCGAATGAGCGGGCGGGATATTCTGGCGTCGCGGTTTCGTTTGCCCCCCGCCCCTTGGGATTCGGGAAATTGAATTCCCCTCTCTCGCTATCCGGCTCGTATGGAAATGTTGTCATCAACCAATCTCGGGCATCGCGCCGTCCCCATGCTACGTAGCGTAGTATATTTGGATGTTTTTAATTCCCTCCATGGCACCCGGGCTTGCATAGTGGTATCTTACTACGTAGGCATACGGTACGGATGTACCACAGCAGGCAGCATCTTGTTTGCAAGCTCCCTTCCTCTCGTGCCGCCCTGTGACCATTTAATTCCATCCATGATGTAGTGTAGAGGTGTCTGGGAAGCGCGCAAGTGGAAGAGTCCACGGATTCCCTTTGACCGCCCAATTCATTCCAGACCAGTCGAGATTCGCCCAATCCCCATTGCCAACGCAACCCAATCTCATCTGATCATCACCCGTCCTCCCTCTCCCCCTGTCGCACATCCCGCATTCTTTTCTGTCCATCAGTCCATCAGTCCAAGATTCCAAGACCACCACCACCACCACCACCACCACCAAAACCGCCACCAGGCCCTTTGGATCTCCCGGACTGGAAACAAAGCCTCTTGGTATCCGCGGTCATCTGAGGTAAAGCACACTCGAGCTTTCGGAGCTATCCCAATCCACCTCTCCGTGCTATCCGCGCTAGAGACGGCGACTCTTTGGCCCTAGCAACGTCTGCATCAGTTTTTAGGTCCGCCCCGTCATATCTGTCTGAACAGACGACAGCTGCACAAACTGCTCAGCTGTGGCTGCTCTGTACGCCCCGGTCTCCCCTTGCCGAGCTCACATCTCCCGGTGGCATACCGTAGGGCCTGCAAAACGAAGGTGCCGGGAACCAGAAGGAGACAGAGCGGCCCTATTCACAACCTAATTCACGCCTGCATGTTGCTGCTGCTGCTGCAATCTGCAAGAATAGACTGTCAGAGGCTGCAATCGCTAATCCGTCCAACCCAACCTGGAATCCACCCTGGGCCGCCCACCCCAGCGTTTCAGTGTCCTTCGCCCCTCGATGAAACGACAAAACCACAGGAGCACTTGACGCGCCTACAGGCCAATCCCCTCCTGTCGCCATCCAATCCTTTCTTGATTCTTCCCAGCAGTCTCCCTCCAGTTCCCATTGAATCCCGAAAGTCACCCTTCGCCGTCGGCTGATCTAGGAGGCTTACCTACTCAACATCCCCCGACTTCGCTTGTTCAAGGAGGCGTCCCTTTGTGGATTCCACCCATCTTCTTTTCCCGCTGCCGTGTCGTTCGTTACTCGATACCCCCTTGCTCTCGGTTGAACAAGGAAACCGTTGGATGAGAGACTTCGGGCCCAAAGCCACAGCCAGTCACTTTGTTGGACACATTCGCACCGCGTCTTGTTCTCTCTGCTTGCTTGCTGTGTTACCGCTGCCAACCTTGTGCACATCCCTTGTGGCATTCGACTCTCCTGCCGCTCGCGCTCCCCCTACCGGTACACATTTCATTGGGTACGAAAGTCTCTTGGCTCGCGAGGTGCCCACTCAACTTTGAACCAAATCGAACCTCGAATTCGGAACTTGTCGAGGCGAGATTGGCCTGCGATTTTATGAGTCTGGGAAATAGCGCCACGGCCGCGCGCACTCGTCGTTGACCGTCCTACCTTACTGTAGTAACCCCCGCCGAGTCCACATTCCAGTCACTACTGCGACTGCTTGTTGCCAAAACACCAATCGACCACTCGGCGGCCTGGCCATGAACCCAGCGCTGCAGCAACGGGATGACACCGACCACAACACCGAGCTGACGCATGCCAAACCCGACACGAGACCCGCCGCCGCCAACGACGACGACCACCGGGAGACGACGCCCAAGATGTTGGCCCACGATTCCATGGTCACCGTCAGGCTTTCCGAGCCGCCTACCCTTACCCTCGACACCAATGTTGGCCCCAATTCGCCCCCGAGGAGGAGACCTAGTACCGTGAGGATTGAAAAGCTTCCTTTTCCGACAGAGATTTCAGAGGCCAAGGCCCGGGATGAGCAAGAGGACGAGACCGACCACACGCAACCGAGTAACCCGACGACACCGTTGCCTGTCACGGACGCTACCCGGAATCTTCAAGACGAGCTAGTGGATTGCGAGAACGAGGCCGAAGAAGAGGGAGACCGTGTAACTTCACTGCCAGCTAGGGGAACCCTCCTCGAAACGCCCATAGACCTTAAGAGACCCGAGGTGGACGAAGAAGAAGAGGACGAGGAGGAGGTGAACTGGGACGAACTGCAGAAATCCGAAGCACAAGAGCCTAGAGACGCGGATACAGACAGAGTAAGTGCATGACGTGATACCTCCAATAGCTACTTTGTCGAGGCTTACAATTCCTAGTCTACAGCCATGTTGCTGGCTATGCTCGAGCAAGAGAACGATAAGCTGGCTACGAACCCCAAGACCATCAAAGTCCAAGCAGTGGAACAAGTAACCGCTTCCAATCGTCCCAGACCTCCATCAATGGCACAATTACGACACATGGTCCATGGGCCAACGCCCCCGGCCTTGCGATATTCGATGCTCCCGCCGCCGCCAATGACCGACCTCGAGTTTTATGCTGCATTGGTTAAGGATTATCAACAAACGGCAGCTCGCTTGCCGACGCTTCTATCGAACAAGATACGCAAAGGCATTCCTCCCCCGCTACGAGGTGTCGTATGGCAAAGCATGGCAGGCGCCAGGGATTCCGCACTCGAGGAACAGTACGAGCGATTCACGGGCGAATCGAGTCCTTACGAGCCCATTATTGGCAAAGACCTCGGTCGGAGTTTCCCTGGAGTCGACATGTTCCGCGACCCTGAAGGCGACGGACAACGCATGCTTGGGAGGGTGCTCAAATGCTTCAGTCTCTACGATACAAAAATTGGCTATTGCCAAGGGCTGGCATTTCTTGTCGGCCCTCTCTTGATGCACATGCCCGATAAACAGGCATTTTGTGTTTTAGTCCGGTAAGTGTCAAAATCCCAAAAAGCAAGCGCGGCCGACCCTATCCCGATTTCTTGGGAAAAGGGGTCCGAGGAAAAAGAAAAACAAGGTTTCGAAGCAAATGCAAATGCAACGTCGAGGCTAACATTGGGATGGGCAGATTGATGGAACGATATGATCTGCGAAGCTGTTTCCTGCCAGACCTGTCAGGGCTGCATGTACGCATCTACCAGTTTCGAGAGCTTCTTCGAGAGCACATGACACCAGTGTCGAACCATCTGGAAGAACTGCAAGTCGATCCGGCCTACGTTTCACAATGGTT